ATATAAAGTAAATACATAAGCATATGAATATAAAACCTCACTTATTTATTTATTTATTTATTCCAATATTACTGCTGCTGCCACCGTTGTCCATAAATATTCGCCAAATGATAATCATAAACAATTTTGTCGCTTTAAGCTGATGGCAGAGAAGAAATGCCATCGAGGCTATCGAAGGTGTTGTGTGGGAAATGGGGAACTGATATCCACCCATCGGGGGATTATTATTGTTGGATGATAAATGTGCTTAGGGTCGCGCCGAGTGTCAATTGTGTGTGGATAAATAAAACACAGATTTAACCATATATTATGGTCAGCGTGTGTTCTGCAAATACCCGCACATTTACAGCCATCAAACAGCGGGGGCTGGTGGGGCAGTGGGGACAGTGTAGCTGCAGCGCCGATAAGTTGAAATAATTCATTAAATATTTAATTGTAAATTGAACTTGTCAAATCAATGCGGAAGCCATTTGATTTGTTGTCTGCGATTTGCTCTGGGATATTGACGATAAAGTGCATTTTGCAATATGTTTTATTATTGCTAACTGATATAAAATTTACATAAATATATATTTGTGCTTTTTATGGGGTTTCTCTCTGTAACTTTTAGGCGAAACTTGAACCTAGTTGAACTCGTTGCACTTCTTTGTAATTATCAAAGTCTTTTGCCTTGTTATCCCGACTTAAAGCAATAATTCGAAAGTGAGAGCTATAAGGTTGTTCCGCCTATCAATTGTTGCTAGAGCACATCCTCGTAGAAGGAGACTATCCAATAAGCAGCTCGAGTTGCTTCCATCCGGTTAAGAGAGATTGTTCGTTTGGACAATGGATGAAGGGAGGCACTGCTGGTCGACGATGTGGCCTTTACTCTCGGTCAGCTGCAGCACGCAGTTCCCTTTGTTAATGATACTCTTGCTGGACATCAGCAAAAGTCCCAACAGGAGCGGCATCATCATCATCATCATCATCATCATCTGCTGAAAGGATGCCATAGCATGGGATCGCAGCCAAAGGCGGGCATTGCAAGGATGGCTCAACCATTTTGTGGATTTATTGACATTCTGTGATGTTATTAAAGTTGATTGCCAGAGACTGTGCACGTTTTTGGCTTAGACGAAGTACCGGCCATCGTCCGGGTAAAAAGGATTTCCTCATATCCCTCCACAATTTGGACTCTGGCTGCCCATCAGGATGCAGTTCAGCTCCGCACACAAACAAAATGCAACCGACATGGGCTCACTGCGGTCAATTCGCAAGAAACAATGGCTACAACAAGCTCCTCCTGTTTTTGGGACTTAAAGGTTGAAATACCCAAGAGTACAGTATTAAAGAAGGATTCTGTTGCATATAACTTTATAATTAAAATACAGCTTTTTGAATTCTCAAGGATATTACTAACTCTCAAGTCACTACCCAAATTCTAAGTATTCAGAATGTAAATCGAATATTGCTGAAATAGTATATGATTCACTCAAAGTCTAGCATGCCCTTTGCCAGGGTACGCTAGACAAAAAAGAATGCTTTAAGAGAGCCTGCTTCCTGGGGTTTTCACATCATCATCATCAAGTCTAATATGCGCATTATTGGTTTTGTCCTGTTTTGTCTCCGGACTCCGGTGTGTGCCGTGCTGCTGCAGTTATCCTTAATATGCCCTGCATGTTAATACGCTTATCCTGTTCTGAGTAACACACACACACACACACACACAATAAAGGACTCCAGCGCACACTCAACATGCAAATATCAAATGCAAATTCTACGGCGCAATATTAAAATTTTGTGAACAGAGAGAGAAAAAAAAACCGTATTACACTCTCACTCGCTGCCTACGCAGGCTTTGCCAAATCCTTTTGATCTTATTTTTTAATTTAACATTTAATTTGGTTTCTCCTCGTGCCGTCTTTGGCTGCGGGTAACACATGGCGTATACTTGATAAGGATAATATGCGCCTGCCTTTGACTCGCTCCATTTTGCCTGATAAACTTATTAAAAAATATATAAATATGTATGTAAGGAATATGTATACAAATTTGGTTGTTTGTTGCATATTAAATACAAATTGCTTTTCAGTTTTTTATTAATAAAACTCTGCGGCTTTGATTGTGTTTGAAATTTAATGAAATTTTGCCAAATAAAATGATTTAAGCTGAAATTAAAGTTTGTTGCGAACAAAGAATAACTTGTGGCAATATATATAAAATATTTCTTAATATTTCTTGTTATATCTGAGCCGAGAAAGACCCACTAAGACACATTTTGGTTGTAACAAATTTCCACAGATTTCCCGCTTTTTGCGCGCGAACACATACAGACATTTCCGCAGTTTGTCAACATGAAAAGGTTAACAAGGTAAATAAAACACGGCAAAAAGGTAGATAGCGAGTACAAAGGGAGAGTAAGTAAAAAATCAAGAAACAAGGCCCACAAACAATGTTGCAAAAGGGCGCAGGCAAATCTTTGTGTCAGTTTTTTTCTTTTTTTTTTGTTTGGAAGGAGGTGCACGTTGGTGGGGCAAGGACGTTGCTGGAGTTCCTTTCGACAAAAGAGGGATTCCCCACTTTCCTGTTCTGTTCGCTGTGTGTGAATAACAACATTTTAAACATGTTTGCCTCTTTACTTTTTTTTTGTGCCGCGCTCCCGCTAACGTTTATGCAATTTATTCCTGCACCTTCCTCGCGCCCCGTTTCTCCAATTCCTCTGTATCTCACACAGGCAGCGGCTCCTCTTTCTCTCACTTTATATACATTTTTTTATTTTGTTGGTTCAGCTCGGTTACAAAGCATGCCCGCCGGCTGGGCAATGTATAATCTTTTGCTTGTCTTTGGCTTCATGCCGCCCATCGCTGGAGTTGAACTCTTGACTGGCATCCATGCCCCCTTTTTTTTTGAGGGAAACCCCCTTGAATAAGGGAGAGGTTACAGGGCATTTTGACTGCGTAAATCGTTTGGAGTTCAGTTGAAGGTAGGGCCGTATAATAAATCAGGAAAAGGGTATGAAAATCTTTAATAGTTATATAATTTAAAATTAAAAAATAACAAGTAAAACATTATCTCATTAAAAGGATTGATCTATAAAAAAAAACACATTATTTCTTCTAAAGGCATGGTGCTAAAATTTCATGCAAAGAGCATCTAAAAAGGCATTTCCCTTTAAAACTTTGGTCTTCTTTTTATCGCCTATATATATGTAGTATCTTCCGTTGTATATTTTTCTTAAAAGGTGAAAAGGCAAGCTGAAAGGTCTCAGAGTTTGAGACGGTCAGCGGTCTTGATATTTCCAAGCGAAGCGAAACTCCAGCTCGAGCCAGAACTTGGATCAGAACTTTAACATAGTTCTGGCAGCGGAGTGAAAGGAATCTTAGCTAGCTTGCTGGCAAAGTTTAAAGTTCGAAACAATGACGTTTAGTTCGGTGTGCTAAGCCCGAGATAGTTCCCCTTCGTCATCGAGTTGGTATTTCCTGCTTGGTTATGCAGCTCAAGTCGCCGCGTTTGACACATTTCTCCAGGGAGGACGTTCGCACGTCCTTGTCCTCACCTCCCGCCTCTCGCTTGGGCGTTGTTGTTGCCCGGAGGTCCTGTCCAGCTGTCAGAGCAACTTGTCAACGCAGTCATCAATGTCGGCGTGACAGCATCATGGCACCGGCATCGCCTGTAACTATGCCAAGCTTTTGCAATGTTCGCACATTTAGTCCACGCGCAAGGACCCACTTCCGGTTAACCCAAACACACGGATCAGGGGTCTAAGAACTTGAGAATGGAATTTGGTAAGCAATGGTATATGAAATGAATTTATGTTAGTTAACTTACAGGAGCTGAAATTTGTAAAATACTATTATATTTTATATCTTAATGTCCTAGGTAAGGAACCACGTAAACTTCCAATCAGTTTTGATATTGGATTACTTATCATAGTTTATAATGCATTTTCTATTCAAATTATTATATTATTAGTAACTTATTCCATTTATAAATTACTTAACTTGTGCTCTTATTTTCTTTCTTTAAAATGTGATATTTAATGGGTTAAGTCATGCTGCAAGTCGCTCAGTGGGTTTCTTTGACACTGACCACCAGGGGCGAGAAAGTGTGAAAGCTGCAGCGACTTCTAACCAATATTAATGAGGGAAATTTAGCAAGACGTGCACCACATTTAATCGAAAATTGAAAATAATATGCGTCCAGGCGATGAGCTCATAAAAAGTGATGAAAGGAAAAACAAGCTTTAACTGCAAGAGCTCTTTTGTGGGAAAAGAAAATAACACTATATAATTTCAGAACTTTAAGTCATAAAAAATGCTTATAAAAATTTAATTTGTTTGTGTTAAAAAACTACATTAAATTGCTTCAACTTTTGACCAGTTTTCCTGTCCCCCTCTCTCTTCGCTTGCATATGTGTGATTTTATGTGATTATTATCATTTGCTGTGACACAAAAAACCGAAATATAAAAAAATGCACAAACTTTGCCAACTGGGGTAGCACGTGCTGCCCTATCCGACCCTTATCCTGCCCACACCCTTTTTGCCCAGCGACAAATAAAGTTGTGAATCACCACGAGAAGTTAAAGGAAAAACATAGGGAAAAAAAAACAAACGTCACGTGCAAAAACTTTCTTAATTTAAAAGAAATTTTCAAACAAACTCAATTAAATAATTTCAGGCACAAATAAAGATGAAAATGTGTGGCGGCAGGAGTTTTCTGGTGGGTGTCATGATGTTTTCATAGAATTTTATATGCTACACGGAGTCATGCAACTGCTGTCTGCAAGACAATTTTAATGCCACAAAATTTTAATTGAGCTAATCCCAAAAACCACATTGCCTGTTCCTGGGCTAACGAGCCAGATGTCAGTCTGTCTAATTTCCGAAAAAAGGGGGAATTTTTCTGCAGCACACATGTTGCACAGCCGGCGAAGTGAAGTCAAGAGGCATTAGACTGAACATAATTATAATTGCCTTCTCGAAAAGATTAGCCCAGTTAGTTGGCCATGAACAAAACGTCCAAGGGAAAGTTTTACCAAATACAAATCCTGACTTGGCATTCCCACACAGATCACATAATTAACAAGAGTAACAAAAAATATATATACCAAAAAAAATGGACTCTGACGAGACTTTCCTTACACAACGATCCTTAGTCATGGATGTGATGAGGCAGCTGGATGACATGCTGAATGCCAATAAAATGGAGTAGGTCCTTTTAGATCTTTTAAGCTTAAGAGTACTTTTTATAATCTATTCCTTAGTCAAGGAACCAAGGGCAAAGAGGAAAAGAAACCCGAGGTGGATCCATCAACAGGGGTTACAGATACCAGTTTTGTGGTTGCCGTCAGGGAAATGCGCAAGAAATCCTCGAGACCCTTTAAGAAGGTCTTGAAGAGTTCCAATCTTAACCAGATTACCTTTATGTGCCAGATTGATGTCACTCAGCAGTGTCGGGAGGAAGCTCGTGCTGATCGCCACCGTGTAGCAGAAAGTTTTCGCAGGTGAAACTCATTCAGAACTGGCAGCATTTCAAACTTAAATCATATATAAACTTATTTATATTTTTATCTATAATGCTATACGGTTTCATTTCAGATTTGGCAATGAAGAGTTTCGCCGTACCAACTATGAAAAGGCTATATATTACTATTCGAAGGCTATTCAGTATGTGGTCGACTCGCCAGTTCTTTATTGCAACCGTGCCTTAGCTAAAATCAAGTGAGTTAACATTTTCTCCATACATATTTAATTATTTCCAAATGCACCTAAAACCCTAAAAGGAAAAGGGACTTTAAGTTGGCAATTATGGATCTAGACTATGTACTTTTAAGACTGGACTCGCATCACTTGAAGGCCTGGCTCTATAAGGCCGGAGCTCTGGCTCGCCTTAATAACGAGGCCGAGTCGCAGTATGCAATTTCGAATGCTTGCCAGTTCAATAGGACCCCAAAGGATGTGAAGTATATAGCCAATTTCTTGGAGAAACTCCGTACCGAATTCTAAAACGAATTTCATGCTTTCTATTCACCTTTATTAATGTTTTTATTTTGGACTTTGAATGCATATTGAAAAATCACAATCACAAGTTGTAAATTTTATGGGGGCAGACAATAATAAAGCGCAATCATAAACAAAAGGGGAAACTAGATTTGGATTTCAGATTCAATCAAATAACGAATGCACTTCCTGCATTTAATTTAATGTTTTTTGTCACAAGAACTGCAACCACTTTTCATAAACACAAAATTTAGAGAGACACAAAAACAACATGCTGGGAACTGCAAAAATATGGAAAATTGTTTTACTTTTTCCATGCACTACACACACAACTCGCTCTTTGTTAGTGGCAAATGAAATTTGCAATTTTTTGCATAAATTCAATAAAAATTCCTATTGTCATGAGAATATTTGCCAATACAATATACAGCCCAGGAGAGGAGGGGTCTGTGCCCCGCTCTAGCCTTCAGTTGGGATAAGGGCCACTTATACGCTTCGTTGGGGGTTACATCGACCCCTTTGGAAGCCTCTCTCCCCCTTCAATCCCCTCGGCAACCGCAAAAGACTGACAAATGCGGGCAATGGAAATTGAAGGGAGGGGAAAATGCGAATTCGAGGGCAGTGGTAGTAGAGTTTTTCCGAGCTTTCAATATGGCGCCAACACAATTTGCATTTGCCAGCTCCACTGCACTCGGCCCCGGGTTGCTTCCTCCTCTGGAGCTCCTACCAAGTCCAGAAGCAGTTCGTGTTGCACGGCTCGTCGCCATAATGAAATGCAGTTCAAATGCTTGGGGTATAAACTTTTGTCACAACAGGCAGGCAGGCAGCCAGCAGGAGCAGCAGGAGCACAAGGACATCGCCGAGGGAGGGTATAAGGTTGGATGGCATTGGGCGGGTTGTAAACTAGCAAACAAAACGCAACGGAAGTGCCACAAAAAGGGTTTCACTGTTTGTCAATTGTGTGCGGCCGCAGAGTTGACACCTAAACCAATTCCCGCAAAAACCAGCCAGAGCAGCTCCCGCATCCTCCCCTGGCCAGGACTTCTGGTCAATCCCCCTGACACTACTGACACGCTAACTGACTGCCATAGAGCTGCAGTGCTGTGGGAGTGCACTGGGGAAAAAGGAAAGGGTACTTTTTATAATAAAATATAAAATATATATAAATAAAAAGAAATTAAATATACATTTTAAAACAAAAAAAGAAACGAAGCTAACTTAGGAAAGTAGAAGTTCGTCTAACCTTGCAGTTAGCCATAATAATGGGATAATGGGTTAGGATGTGCAATGTAAGCCAAAAATACATTTCTCCCATTTTGGAAAGCTTTTCTGTATTGCTTTCTATTAGAATGCCACCATATTGGGCTTTTATATTTAAAAAATTAAAAAGTTCTTTTAAATTTTAGACAATTTTATTGACGTTACCCCATAAAACATTTTGAAAAATTTTGTTAAATTTGTATTTGAATAAAGATTGTTAACGATATTGAATGCAAATTGAAATCATTGGTTTCTTTCCCTTCGTAAAAAATATCTAAAATATATCGAAAATCAATAGATATATAAAATCATAATTCTTATATGCTAATTTTTTGGGTAAATCAAAGTTTTTTAAGTATCATAACTAAGCCAAAAATTATTGAATATTAATTCGGAAAGCTTTTCTGATCTAGTTTTTATAGGGCTAATAAATCTACATATCAAGTTTTAAAAATTTTAAAAACCAAATTTTTTGTCAAATTTAATAATTTTACTGATGTAACCCCTTATAAAATTCTGAACAAAAATTCAAAAAATTTGTTTTTTACCAGACCAGGCTAGATCGATTCAGAATTTGATGCTGATCAATAAAATATATGCTTTATAGGATGGGAAATGACTCCTTCTCTGCGTTTTAAGCTTCTAACTAAAATTCAAATACCCTTAAACGGTACAAAAATAAATTCTTAAAATATATCTATAAATAAGAAATTCAGTTCTTTTAAAGATTCTTCAAGCTTCTGCTACTTATCCCAGTGTAGACTGCCCTGGGGCTAATCTTAAGAAATGCAAAAATAGCACTAGCTGGCTGCGGCTCTAATCAACATCAAATGCTGCACTTTCTGCTGGTGATGTTTGTGGCACAGCCTCAGCCACCGCCCATTCCTTGTAATCAATGCTGTAAACACTTATTTTTGTGGTTGTCACCGACTACAATTTGTGCCCGAAACTCGGATCTCGAATCTCGGATGGGAGGCGCACTGGAGTTGGTAAAGTCTTCTTGTCCCCACATCTACGAACATTGTCTGGTTACGGCTTTTTGCAATAGAAAACTGCTGGAATTCGGTTCTTTGTTGGTTGTGTGCCAGTTTTTGTGGTTACAAACCGGGTCGACAAGGATTGTGTAAGGTGACTTTAATGTCTGCTTTATATGGCCAGCAGCAAATGATTATTGCAGGTGAAGTTTTTAGCTTAGGTTAAGCTGCAAGGAAAAACTTTTCTTATCGAATTGGATAAAGAAAACTTTGGATTCTTAAAGTGATTAGGAGTGGTTTAAGTGTGGCTTCAACTTTCAGGGATTTTGTTTTTAGGTTTTTAAAACCGAAAACTAATTTTTAAGTAAACCTCACAGCTGCTGCAGAAAGAGACTTGGAAATAAAATGAGGTACAAATGGCAATAAAATGTTTTAAGATCCTTAATTCATTCGTTTTTGTAATCTTTATCAAACAAAAAATTAATATCAACTATTTTTAAAGCCACTTTAAGTACCTGTGAAAAGCCAGAGCCCCATTTTTATGTTCAGCTAATACTTTTTGTCTGAGCTTTAACTTTAAGAAAACTTTTCCTGTTTCGTGTGTGTCAGTCACTCTGATTCCCCCATGGCATATAGTCAACTTCAACGAAGATCTTTATGAATCACACACACTGGAGCCATCGGCATCAGACTTTTCCGCTTTTCTGATCCCCAGGGTCGGCTTTTCAGCTGGCGAAGAAGTTTTCCCCGAAGGATCGCCGCGTCGCCCATAAACTCATCTGTCGAGGAGAGGCGTTCGTGAAACAAAAAACAAAAAGTACAAGCAGGCAGGACCCTGGTTTTTCCGGGGGGGAAGCATTCTTGTTTGTCCGATGGCTTTCAAGTTGCGGTCCGTGGCGGCAGCAGCTTCTTGGCCAGAAAGTAATTTGGCCTTTATCTGTATTGCGGTTTGAACAGGAAGGGGCCAAACAAGCAACATCTTTCGCTCGGTTTTGTTGTAATATTCTGTTGGTTTAGCATTTTTGTTTTCCTTGTTTGCACCACATCCGGGGGACTCATTTTGGTTGTCTTCGGTTTGAGGCTAAAATTGCAGTCCTCTTTTTAGGGTGTGGGAAAACTTTTCATTTCGAGGGAGACGGGGTCCTTTCCTTGCCCAAAGTACTGCTCCTGCTGCTGCTGTTGCCTTTGCTGTCTTTGCTGACATTTGCCCGAATTGAACTTTTCGTTGCGTTTGGGCCAAGTTTTTCATTAAGCGGAAAATATTCCGTGCTTTTTGTTTATTTTTGCATTCATCTGACATTGACTGTCATTTGCCCTTTCCGGCTGGCAGTTAATTTAAAGTTTACGCAGCTCGCTTTTTAATTAGCATCGAGATTTATCTAGTTGCCGAGGTCCTCATCCCCATCCTCGTCCTCATTCCGGGTTATAGAATCCCAATCGATTGACACTTTTGGCTGGTGCTTTATTGAGGGTTTATTTGCTTTGCTGATTTTCTATTTTCCCAAACGACTGGCCAAAAGGAATTTCGAATGCAAACAGCATCGAATCCATCCAAAGGACAAACGAAACATGTCTTGAGTCTCAAGATGAAAAAAAAGCAGAAGATACCAAATCGAAACAAGTGAATGGGGAAGTTCTGGGAATTCCATTGAAGTATGTGTTTGTTTGTGGATGGAGATGAGTTGGCAGTAGACAAAGAACTTTAGCTACTTTTCTCTCTTTTGAGTGAATTAGCAATTGGTTATCCGAAACAGTGAAAGAAATCGGACTCTATCACTTGTTAAATATTGAATATCTATGACTTGAAGGTAAATCCCACAACTCACAAGCCTTCTTTTTCTTCTTTTTCCTTCATCAAAAGTTATTATTTAATTATGCCTGGGAAATGGGGAAACTTCTGCAGTTACTTGTTCTTTTCTATCGAGTTTCCTTCGAGTGAAGTACCATCCATAGTGCACTCACTTCCTCTCCCTTTGGCACTGCCGAACTACCTAAGGAAATATATTCACGTTGCTTTTTCATTATTCATGACAACTGGGCTGGTTGGTTGGTCCCCTCATATATCCGAGTATGTGCGACTATAGCCCTAGGCAGCTGTAACTGAGTCTGAGCAAATAACAGATACAGATACGCAAACTGAGGAGGGGGAGTAGCCATAACAAATAACAAAGATGACAATAAAAAGCAGCAAAACAATTTCCCCACAGCCGAGAGACCCAAACAATAATAAAAAAAAGAAAGAAGAAAGCAGGGAAAAAGAAAAGGCAACTAATATTTTAAGAAAACACAACGTACATTGGCGAGGGGTGAAACTTAATCGCATGTGTGAAGGGGGCTAAGGAGGAGGGTGTAATGGGCGGGTGGAAAAACAGGCAACAGTTTTCCTACTTCTTTTCTTTTTCCTTTCTCCGTTTTTTGCTACGCAAGTGGCCGTCATCAAATTCAAGTGACATATTTAGACAGCTAAGCGACTCCCAAGGTGAGGCTGCAACAGCAGCAGCCGGAAAAGCCGTTGGCAATTTCCAGTGTCTAGACCAAGGGTGGCTGATACAACCCCAAAATGAGAAAGGAAGGCCAAGTCGATGGAACCGACTATGAAATACCCAAGGTGTCTTGTTTTTAATATATTTTAGGGGGTTAGTTTGGCTTTAATTAAAGCTTACATAAGATAACACATATTTATGGAATATAAACCTTGTTTTTCAGAACTGAAAATTTAATTTACCAGTCAAATACCTAAAATGAGTTAATATTCTATATATTCTTAAATCATTTCGAATGCTTGAAACTTTTTAGAAGTCTATTAAAATTACAAAACTAAATGTATTTATGAATACAATTATATTGACATCCAATGACTTCTCTATTATTAAACCATCATGTTCTACATGGTTTTTTAAAGTCTAAGTAAATCCTTTTATTTCTCTTATCTTTGTGCATTTCCCTAATTTGAATATACTCTTCAAGAAAGTATAGAGTATTCAAAGAATAGACACAAGGGGAATAACCCAAAAGGGGAAGGGTGGCCATGTAAGGGGGATCCTTGGCCCGGGACAAGTTGCTTTTAATAATAAAATCATTGAGCATCAAAGCATAAAACTCAGTCAAGTGCAACATAAGCTTAAAGACCAAATCGTGATGGGGCGAAAGCGAAGCGAAAAAGGGGAGTTCCCTTACCTTACCTTGGTGGTTACCTCGTCGCAACCCCAACATGTGGCCATGTGCTCGCCCAATTCGATTTTCCACTATCTATATATACTCATATATATACATATATAAGGATTCCGCCTTTATTCGTTGCTCTTGAATGTGATTTAATGTTATTTTTACAGCCAAATTAGTTGGCTTTTGATGTTCGCTTAACTTTGCCCGCTTTAAGCCGAACCACAAAGAAAATAATGGTGGGCAGAGGTGGCCAATAAAGAAGGTCGAATAAAGGAGCACCAAATTTATGGCAGACGGCGGCGGGTGGCTGCAGTCATAAAGCTTTCCAAAACCCTCAGTATCTTTAAGATACATATGAGTATCTGTGTGTAAGTGTTAGTGCAACTGCTACTGTTATTAACTTTTATCTTAGGCCACACATTTGGATTGCTCCACTTTTGTTTTGAATGACTGTAATGACTCTAACTTGAAACTGAGCCTTCAAGTGAAGTGCAATCGCTTCAAGCTGCTGCTATTCGTATCTGAAAGGTCTTGACTCATAATGTGGCAGCTGTTTGCCCGATTCCAAGTGCTTTTTAGCTTGTTCACATTTGGTAAACATTTTGATTGCCACTCTGATTGATGAATGCCTGTGTGTGTTTTTTATTAGTATTTGATTTTAGTTATGTTTCATAAGAGTCTTTTGCTAGCTCTTGGAAAGCTGAGAGTAAAAAAAGATATGTAAATCTTGTTACAAAATAAGTAAATTTATTAAAATACTATATTTCTATTTTTTATTATGTATTACCTAAATTAGGTAGATACATTGATACATTGAAACCAAAGACAAAGAAAGTCCTTAGCTCCTCTTAAGTACCCAAATAATTTGCGTAATTTGTAGAGAACTACTTAAGTTGAAACCAATCAATTAGTTAAAATCCTTGGTTGCCTGCGAAATAAATCGACATGTAATTGAAATTAAATGTCTGAGTGGATCCTGTGGCAAAGGCACTTAAGCGGACAAACCCTTGAAGCCGTGTTTTCCCTTAAACAAATGAAGAATCAGGGAAACCAATGCCAGACGGACAATTACCCCATAGCTATTCTCCCCTAAAACCCCCATCATTATTTTACTTGGCCGTCTCATTGACATCGTTTCTCGATTGTTAATTATTTTCATTGTACTTGTTATGAAAGTTTTTGTTTGCCCTGCAAAGCTCGATTGGCGCTGGGAGTCTGTGTTGTCCTTAAGGATTTTGGGCATTTAATTAGGCGCAATCAAGTTGACATTTTAAACAATTTAAGCTGGCAAACACGAGGCTGTTTACTTCGCATTTTCCCCCGCCGGCCCGCTTCCCCGCCTCAGCTTTGACTACTTTAGCGCATATTAAAACGCTTTATGGCCAAAGGCCAATTGCCAGTAAGTTGAGTGAGTCTCAGTCGAGTCCTTTTGCCTCTGGCAGTGGCTCCTTTTTGGTCTGAAAATCGATAAGCAGGAGACTTGTGGGGGGTGGGTCCTTGTCCTCCTTCCCTCGCTGCTATTAATTATGTCTTTTGCCGTTTTGTCGCATTGACGTAGGCGGAGCAATTAAGTTGCTGCTGGTGGTAAAACGGGGGAGGAGGAGCCATGGAAGATGGCCAAAAAGAGCAGGAGGCGGCTATAAGACTGCGGAGGCTGAGGAAATGAAATTCGGCATGTACTTTGGTCAGTCACATAATACGTATCAATGGGCAATTCCCGCCCGACCACCCCCCTTTTTCTTCTACCAGTTCTCATATCCTCATATCCTGAACGGCCCCAGACTCCTGTTGTTACGTGACCAGCAAAATAATTCATATGAAAATTTAATTTGTATTTATTTTTTTGTGCTGGGTGTCTGTTTCCTCTTTGCCACCGAATGAATGCTTTGGAATTGGCATCTAAAAAAATTATGTACACAAAATATTGATTACACTGGCTTTCAAGCAAAAGCTATTTGCTAAGCAAAGCTGTAATATAGTTTATGTATATTGTCTTTAGTGAACCCAAATAATTGAAAGAATTCACTTATAGGATGGTTTAAATACTAAAGAACCAATATAAATTGGGGTTTATTATTGGCATTTATCGGTTTACTTTATCATAGCCTTGAAGGGTATTAAAATTTTAGTCATGAGACTGTAAGTCAATGAAGGAGTCATTTCCGACCCTATAATTTATATATATTCTTGATCAGCATCAACTTCCAAGTCGATCTAGCCATGTTTAGAAGAAAAAAATATTTTTCGAAATTTTTTTCAAAAATTTTATAAGGGGTTACATCATTAAAATTTCCAAAAATTGGCAAAAATTTTAAATTTTTTTAAATTTTGAATTGAGTATGCAGATTTATTAACCTATTGAAAACTGGAACAGAACAGCTTTCCGATTCGAAATGAATCCATTTTTGACAGAGTTGTGATCTATTTTCTACTCCGACGAATGCAATCAAAAATACAATTTCTAAGCTTACAAAAACTACTTTATTAATTTGTAAACTAGTGTTTTTTAATAAAAAGCAAACATATTAGTAGTCCACACAAAGTATACATTTTTTCTTTAACAATTCTGCTTTGAAATTGGACAAAGGAACATTTTTTTTGTATTTAACAAAACCCTAACTGCACTGGACTGGAGTGGACACAAAGCAAATGATTTTCATGCTGCCAACCGCATGTGAAAATAAATATTATTAGACTGATCTGGCATTATCCCAGCCCTGCATCTGGTTTGCCATTTTGCATCAGAAAATATAGCAACAAATAAAAAAAATAGGAAATAAATGATTGCACATTTAGCAATAAACAGGCAGAAAAACAGGGAAACTGAACAAATGTGGTTTAGCTTGTTTTGGCTTTATGTTTGTTTATCATGGGGTTTAGTGATGATATCGACCTGGTTGTGTCAACAAGATTCCTTTGATTCCCATTCCCGGGAATGAATGCAACTGAAACATGTTTGCGTTTTTGACAATTTCTGAATATATATATGTATATATGTATATTTTCTGTGGGTTAAAATTTGATTGCATGAACCGCAATTTGAATGATATTCGGCTTTTGCGGTTATTGCACACGAACGACGGTGGTCAGGTTATTGACGTTCTTGTGGTCATCGGGTTTTGGCCCATTAAGTGATTTAACCATCAGTTGGTTGATTACCATATTAATTATAATTCCCACTTGAAACCCAATGCCGAAGGCTGAAATTCTCATTAGTCCAGGAATGCGGAAAATCGGAAGCCAAGCTGAAAACCTTGGCAAATAAAATCCATTGAAATAATTAACAGTGCGAGGAGTTTGCCTGGAAATTTGCATTGCCCTGGATTTGTATTTGCACCTGCTTCGGACCAAATCTGCATTCGGCCAACCGCACTCTGGCTCTGAGCCGTCGGACAAGTTCCGGGCAGCGTTTTAAATTTCATTAAATCTGCTCACTTCGTTTGCCAATGCAATCAACAACAGCCAAGATTCTGGTTGGCTGGGTGGGGAGGAGAAAAGCACCGCATTTCATTTACACCGCCTCGAGTGCTTGAAATCTACTTAAGATCCTGACTTGCTCTGCTCCTAGTTGCTCTGTCTAAACTAGCTTTCTTCCGTCTCTTTCTCTGCTCTGCTCTGCTCTGCTCTGCTCTGCTACTTCTCTCTTAACCTTTCGTAATTAACTCGCCTTAGCCCTGGCTCTTATTGCATTTATTTTAATGCTCTACAAGTGATAATTAATACTACGTCAGGGTAGAATTTTAACATTTCATTAGAGGCTTTTGAAATTAGAGCCTAAAAGATTACAGACTTTTAATTAGATAAGTAAATCAATGGGTCATAAACTGAAATTGCGTCACTATATTACATTTTAAATTTATATATATTACTACCTTTAAACTAACCTTATATATCACCATTTATTTATTATTCAATTTATTTATTTTATTCTCTTTACTTTGTACTTAACTTATATTCAGCCTGGATAAATCTAAGCCTTAAGCTTTTTTATTTAAACTTACTTATTTTTAAAAACTTGTATTTAAAACTAGTCTCAATGGAAAGAGTATTCCCTTGCCGACTTGGACTTGAAACTTAATTGTTCCTGGGCTTGTTTTTACTGCGTTTGATCCACTTTACGCTTGGATTTTAGTTTAATTTCTTGCAGTTTCTTTTCAGCTGTGTTTTCGTCCTTTTTTCATAGCGCGCACCTTGTTCTTTTCGCTTTTTTCTTTTCTTTTTGTTCATTTTGGTTAGAGAAGTTAGCTTTACGCTTTCGCTTTTCCTCTAATTTCTTTTACGCTATTTTTCAAAAAACGTTGTGTTTTTTTCTTATGCCCCAGCTCCTGGGCCGCCGCCCCTCCTCCTTGGCGCCCTGGTCTAAGTGAAAAAGTAAACAGAAATCCATTAGCTTGGCAATCATTGACGGCGTCGCCAGCGGCACCGCATCCTGCTGTCTCCCTGCTCCTGGCTCGTCCTTGCTCCATGAGGTCAGTTGGACCTGGGGATCGGATGCCAGGGTGCAGGGGGTGCGAGGGTGATTTTATAAATTGCTGCCATCAAGGCATTTGTTCCACTTTTCCTTCACTTCCACTTCCATTTCCATTTTCACCCAGCGACAACGACAATTTCTCGAACTAAACTTAAATAAATAACACAAACAGCTAACTAGGAGGCGAGTCTGTCCCTAATCGATGTCGATTTTATAGCCCAGATCGATGGAGGCCCTTATGTGTTCCTTTAGGTTGATGTAACCATTGCGCAGTGACTCCTGGGTGAGGAATTCCTTCACCTTGCCTTCGGTCTCGCAAAAGACCAGGTTGTCCGTATGATCAATCAGCCGCTGCAGATGCTCCGGAAATCTGAACAAGATTAGAAGGGTCGAGCTGGAAGCATCGGCCTGGCGGCATAGATCGCTGGACAGCTTGGAAATGCCCTGGGCAGCAGTGTAATCCATTCCACTAATGCGTTGTCCATCGATTACCACAGTGATCTTGAAGTCTGCCTGGGTGCAGGCCTTCAGGACTCGCTCCCGGAGATAGTTGATGGCTGGGAAGTAGATACCATTGCCTGGCGTCACTCGGATGTATTGCATCTCCTCCAGCTGCTCGATCTTAACACGGATTTCGGGGCGGGCCCACAGGAAGAGCAGGTGCAAGGCGGTCACTACGATGCTTACGAACAGACCCACTTCCACGCCGAATAGCACAGAGACACAGAAGCACAGCAACCAGGTGGCAAAGTCGCGTTTGGAGTCACGCCACAATCGCAGTGGCAGCTTAAAGTCCAACAATGTGAATATGGAACATATCAGGATGGCCGCTAGAGTGGCCTCAGGGATGTAGTTAAAGTAAGGACTCAAATAGCTCAGGGCCAGCAACACAATGATGCCTGCAAAAAGAGAAAATTAACCAATTCATTTCGAACTTTAAATATTTAATGTTGTGTCAATGAAACCATGTTGTAATTTCTTTATGAGTTCTGTATATATTTGCCATTGAAACTCACCCAAATACAAATTGGCCAAGGGCGTCTTTAGGCCGCAGGCAGTGCTAATGGCATATCGAGTGAAAGCTCCCGAGGAAGGCATTGCCTGGACACAGGAACCAAACATGTTACATAGCCCCACGGTAAGGAGCTCCTGATTCGTGTCCACCAAACCCTTGGGGGCTGCAAATATAAATCGAAAGTTATTAAAGTTCAGGTTTTCTTTACTTTCCCAATACTCACTCAGTTTGCCTATGGATATATTTGTGAGTATTCCCACTATGGGTATAACGATAATACCTATGTTTAGTTCCTTTAACACCTCCCAGAAACTATAGTTCCGTTCAGGTGTAACAATATCCAGGCTGGGCACTGTGAAATTAGGCAAAGTGGCCAAGGCATTCTTGCTGAGGGCATAAGGAACTTGGCCTTTATTTTGAATCCAAATGAAGGACACAATGCCAGCAATGAGCACTATCAAGGTATTTCTAGAGGTAGACAAATACCGACAGGTAATCCTCAAAACTTTGCTTCTGTTTTCATTGTGAGCCACACGTTCCAATAGCTAAAAAAGAGATAGGATTCAAGTATATAATTTTAAAGGATTAATTCTGAACTTACCTCAAGTAATAGCAGAAAGACTATAGCACAAATGCCAATTGTAAGATCTGCCATATTAGATTCTTCAATTCGAGAACTTAACATTCCCACAGAGTTAATGAGACCAGCAACTAAGTACTTGATGCCTAATAAAACTTTTAACTGAGATTCAATTACCAAAATGGCTGTGGCCGAGGAGAAGGCCTTGATTACAGGCATGGATATAAACTCAAAGATGAAACCTGCAAGAATATATTATATATTAATTAGATGGAATTAAACAAGAACTAAATTTCAAGTGGAAGAACTCTTTCGATGTCCTCTAATTTGCTTACCATTTACCTGACCAAGGTAAACATAAATATTAATGTCAATAATCGACAACCATTGCTCTTTATTCACTTGAATGACACCTGCCTGTGTATTATTGTATCGCCCCCACAGTCAATGTTATCTGATATCAGGTCTAGTTCCGTATACAAATCCATAACACCGAATCTCCTCCGAAGAAGTGCTAATTGAAGCAAATAGCGCTAATCGCATTCAAACCGCATAACAGTTATCACGCAGCACACTCAATTAGGTGCTTAAAGCGAGCTCTAAAGCGGATCTATTTCAATCCAATTGCCACCGACCGAGTCCAAGTTCATGGGGGAAGTCACACATGTCGCACTTAAGTCAATTTAGCAATGAGATCACACAGAGTCCGGCTGATATTTGAAAGCTGGACACTATAAAACATTTGTGAGCTATTTGAATATTCATTGTTTCTTGTAAACATAACGATACATTTTCATTATCATATTAGTAACTTGTGTCACGATGCAATTAAATTTGAAGACCATACCGCATTAATCATCTTTACTTTTAAGTAATTCTCTTTACCAAGCAAATTCTTTAGAAAAATACCAGACTAGCTTTAAAGATAACACATTCTAGTGAAAATAACTATTGATTATCTTGAAGTTATTGAAGTTCAGTTTGCAATGATTAATGATTATCAGCTTCTGATTATTATTATTTCTAAAGAAACCAATTAATAACCTAAGATACCCTTGATTCCTACACTGTAAGTATCCACACTTACCCATACGCAGTGTTCCCATAATAATCTGCACAATTCCACTGAGAAAGGTGAGCAGGAAGGCAAACTCAATGGGTCGTCCCACGGTAAACTGTACGCTGACCAAGGCCACCAGGCTGGTGGGACCAATGATAACCTTATCAATTGATCCAAATACCATATAGATCAAGGGTCCAATGAATGCGGAACACAGACCATAGCGAGCCGGTAGACCGGCAAGCAAGGCACAGGCCATGCTCTCCGGAATGATAGTGAGGCCCAGGGTAATGCCGGCTATGAAGTCATCGATTCCCCATTCGGTAGAGTACAGTGGTAGCCACTGGAAGACCGGGATATGGCGATGCAGGCGACGTTTCCACTTGCTTATAGTCGGAGCCTTGCCAGCTTCACTTGCCGGTTTGCTGATGGCACCCGGCAGAAGGGCCCTCGCCGTGGCCTTCTCCAGAGCCTCGGCCTCCGTCTCCAGTTGCGGATACATGGCTAATTCGGTGGGTGGTGGATTTTGGTTAGATGTTGTAGTTAATCGCACGTCTGTCCGCCACAAATCGCAACTGCCGAATGATAGCACCGGGCGAGCTCATCCCACTGATAACGATCCGGAGATCACAGATCTCAGACTGTAGATTGCTCGTCTCTTGTTTGCCTTACACATCAGAGCCTCAATTGGCATTGTGACTGGTGACGACTGACTACTGCCCCGGGATCTCGCGCCTTGCCTCGACTTACTTACTCACTCTCCCACCCCTGGGTGTGTGTGTGTTTTTGGGGGCTGTAATAAAACATATCTAGTTCAAACCCCCCTTGTTTGATTGTTCAATTCCCTACTCGTCGTATCACATTTGACGCCATCTCAATTATCTCGAACCTGTTAATTGGATAATATCTTGATTAGACACTGGAAAAATGTGCCAAAAAGTCTGTTCATTTGAGGTGTAACAATTGACGATATCGCCAGGTTGGTTGTTTAGCACTTGGATTATTTATTATCCAAGTGGCTCAAAGGAGTATTCAAACATACAACAATTGTTGCTTTCAAGAACAAAAAAGGAGGGAAATCTATGAATAAAAAACACGATTTAACAATTACTCATACCAGGGATTGTATTTATTATTTTCCTTATTTATGTTTATTTATTAAAAGTTAATGGGAATAAGCCAATATTTACTCTGGCAAGAAAGTGCTAAACAGACTAACAATTGACGATATCGCCAAGATTTTAACACGTGAATTTTAGTATTGATCCAAGCGCTTAAATTAAATCATTAAATAAAGTTTATAATGACGGATGGAAAAGTATGTGCTTCCTTGAAATATATTTTAAATTGAGTATTTATTTATTTTTAATTTATTAAGAAAATTAGCCTCACTAGAGGTTAAAAAATTTGATAATTTTTATAATATAAGTCCTATACCATTTTTAATACAATGTACTCTGAACTCGCATTCAAATTAAAAATCATTTTCCCCTGGAAATTAATGGCTTTTTATTTCAGAGTCCCATTTATTTTTATCTACCAAACTTTGCTCTTAATTTTTGTATGTAAATATTTGCAGATTATTTTTTACTTTCACACTCGAAATGCTTGTTTCAACGCATTTGCCACACATGGGGTATGATTCATATTTGCTCTTCGTGACTTTTCCTTTTAATGTTATCACTCTGCTTCCCAGTTTTCCCAGTTTTTCCCGAGTTGTGTGTTTTTTGTCTAGATGTTGAGTTATGCAAATGAAAGGGAAGTAAACTTTTTTCGGAAAGTGAAGTGAGAAAAATTATTATATGCAAATTTTGTTGTTTTTTTTTTGTTTATAAAAAGCGGCAAGCGACATCAACAAATGGCAAAAGGCAAGGCAAATAAATGCCAGCATAATTTTAATGTAAATGAAAATTAAAAAGTTTGATTGACTTTAAGGTTCTTCACACTTGTTTTGAATTAAATTTTGAGTCTCTTTTTTGAGGTGGGAAGAATAATTTTAAAGAATATTACTGGTGCGTATGGATTATGGAATAACTCATTTGGATATTATGTTATAATGTTCAATATTTTATTCAAAATTTAGTATTTAATTGCATAAATTTTGAATTGCAAATGTCTGACTCTTGTAAATCTAGCAATTTGTATTGTCTGCCCGGAAAGATTGTTACAAAACCAATCTGTACAAATATGTTTTTAATCAGACCCAACCATTTTGGCCATGCATGTCAGGATGTACAGATAAACTGTCTGGCATTTGCCACTTACTCATTTGCCTTTTCTGTATCCCGATTTGTTATGCAAACGATAGAAAAAGGATACTACTATATATATTCGAACAATTAGCGCTAAATGCGTTTGCATAACGACTGCGTGAAAAGCTCTGCAATAGCGGAAGGGGCGACTTTTGCTAGTTGTATTTGCACCATTTGCACAAAATCAATTAAACGTAAATGCGAAACATGCGTTTGGGGCAAGGATAAAACCCAAAATCAGTAACTCGAAACAGGCGGCAGGACTAATCGAATGTTATGGTAACAGACAGAACGAAAGCGGATTTCAGACTCTGAATCCATCCAAAGTTGATTTAGGTTTCATGTTTTTCTGGATATGAGAATGGGTTTTGTTTATTTAAAGTCTTTTAAAGAGATTTTGTTATAGATTTTAAAAGCGTTTTAAATTTATAGATGTAAACGAACCCCAGGAACTCTATCTTTATTCTACCTTTAAATTCGCGGAAAATTTAAAACATACAATTTAAAAGGTGCATTTCCTTGGCACCATTTTCAAGACTCCTTTCACTAAACCAAGTGCTAAACATTCTCACGTAGTTGCTGAACCAAGAATAACTATAACTGGCTTTGGCTCGAAAACTTTATAAAATTATGCACTTAAAGTTATTATTTGAGGCGATTATTGCAATTGCAGCACGACCAGCAGTAGTGCAACAATGCACGATTGCACATTCAACGAGGAGTCCATATTTAAATGAAATTTTAAGTGCCTTGGCTGGTCTACAACCTACATGAAACCATCAAGTGCCAGCAGCTGTGCTCCTCCTTGCCTCCTTGCCACCTGCCTCCTGCCTCCTGCCCCATGGCATTCCATCCAACCATTATTCCGCTCTCTTTGCCCCACTCCGCACTCGCAGCCAAGTTGATTATTATTTCCGAGCACACTTCGTTGTGGCATTATTATAATGACTGTTGCAGCAAAATTCACAACGCACCTGACTCGAATACAATGTTACCATCTACCACTGGCATCAGGAGCTGGATGATTTTGAGTTGCCCGAAGTGTCCTGCCAGCTGTTGGCAGGCGTCCATTAGGCAAAAGCCATGGGTAGACAAGCAAAACACACTGAAAATGGCAGACAGACGACTGTCCACTGTCCAATGGAGTTCTTAGACGGACTAAAGCCGACATCAATGTCAAAATGTTTTCGCTTTTCCCTAATGAAATTTATAAGCCAGCTCCCCTCTAATGCATTCCCAGAGGGATCAGCTATGAAGTGGAACTAATTAAAAAGTACTCAAAAACTTTTCAGTAGAATAAATATATATTTCTATTAATTGTTGATGATTCACCTTAATTCTGGGAATTTTGTCGATTGATTATAAAAGTTATCTGTGAGGTCTCAACTGCCAGATATGATATGATGCCGGATGTCACCGCTTTATAAAAAGAAACAAGGAAATTCCCCGAAGCTGCAGTTATCAAAAGATACGGAAATGACAAATGTTAACCCAAACCCTTGATTGACATGACATTTGACAAAGGAATTGGCTAAATATTCGTCATAAATCAAGATAGTAAGTCACTAGCACTAACCTTTTGAAATTAAATAGACTTTTTAACAAATGATTACTACTGATACTCCTACTTATTCTTCAATTTATAAACAAAAATCCATTAAAAATCAAATTACAATGAGTACCTAACTCGGTAACAATGCGAAAAAGGAAAAACCAAATAAATATCCAATCTCTCTCTCACACACCAAATATAATTAAAATTTTATCACGTTACGGCAAACACCTGGCGGATGAAAAGAAAAAAATAAATAAGCTACAGAGTGGAAAAAAAGCGAAAGGAATCATAAAAAATGAAATTCAAAACTCGAAATTAAACGAAATTTTATTATTAAGTGCAGGCACATACATAAACATATATAAATTTTTATTGGAGCCGCGACGTGTGCGCGTCTCAAGTGCCTCGCCTGTAATAATCCCAAGCAAATATTACGTATACGCAACGTGTGCGACTGTATGTCTAAGTTTGCTGCCAAAGTGCGTGCGCCTGTGTTTGTCCTGGCACAGAAAATATTATGGCACCCACACGTAGCTGCCCTCCAAGGAATCGAAGTAGGCAAAAGGCTCCTTTGATTTTTAGTTAGCGACGTCAGCGGCAGCATCGCCGCATTTTTGCCAATTTTGACAGCAACTCAGGCATTGTCGTCGCCGATGCCGATGCCGATGCCGCCGCATTATTTCCGCCACCTGCCACGCCCACCATGGCGGGAATATTGAAAATTGCTCCCTGTCTCCGGGTGCGGGTCCTGGTCCTGCTGTTGGAGCAAACGTGCCATGGATTTCAAATGAAACGTGTCAGAGCAGTTAGAGTGAGAGTCAGAAAAATACTCATACGCCGTGTGAGCCTCGCACATTTTTACCTCACTTCTATTTGTGCACTGGGAAAAGTACGTTATTAGTTTAAAAATTATTTTTAATGGTTCGTTTTGCTATCTAATTAATATATTGATATAATATGAAGCCTTAAAGTATAAAAAAAAACATCTAATTTGTTTTTAGGAACGCTGCGAATGAGTAATTACCGACTATAAATCGTATTTATTATTGGTCAGCATTAACAGCCGAATCAATCTAGTCATTTTATAAGGACTTACATCATTTAAACTGTCAAAAATAAAGAATAATTATAAATTAAAAGTGGCAAAGTGCAAGTTTACATAAAATTCGGCTTTCCAAAGTAATTTGCCCCAAAGAAAACCATTTACCATACTAAAATCCATCTTCTACAATTTATTTTCCACTGTAATGTGTGTTTGGTTGTGCTTGTTTGGGTGTGTTTGCAACTCCGTTAGGCGTAATTTTAATGGCTCAAACACACTGAACACACACACAAACACGGCACGGAAATCAAAGTGTATTTTAAGGGGGAAGCTTTGAGGGTTTTTTTTTTGCAGGGGATTCCCCGTGTAGGTGTTGTACCGGAAATTTAATTGTGTGCGTGCTGGCGCAGTCAAATTCGTTCGTCCTGCGTTCCGTACGCTCTTGCTGTTGCTTTTGTTTTGTAAACAGGTGTAAAAATAAAAACTAAGGCACTCCCAGGCCATTATTGTGTTTGCATTTTGTGTTATATATTTTGCGTTTATTTTTATGATCATGTCGCTCGTTACGAATAATGCCTGTGCCAACAACAGCAGCAGGAAAACCCACTCACATAGAGAGATGAAATGGCTGTGGAAATCGACAGCTAAGGTTAGCCATCCGCAATGGATTTGCAGCAATTTGCGCCAAAGACCCCACATTGCTCCTGCTCCACCTGTAATTGGCATTTAAAATAATGGCTCTAGGATGGATTGGAAGGAAGGTGTGCGCTTTGAGAGGCAGCTCTCCTTCAGTTCGTTTTCTTTTACAGTTCGAGTTTTGCGGTTAGAGTTGGGCCTTAATTAATTGCTTTAATTTGCAGATGTGACGAGCTGTCAAAAGGGGATTCACACGTTTGCAGTTTATGGAAAAGTTGTGTAATATATGTTGGGAAAGGTTAATGTCTGTGTAAAAGTACACAAAAGACAGGGGAATCATTATCCTTTGTAAGGGGCTTTTGAGTTTTAGTGGGATTGGGGAAAGCCTTTTTTAAATTAATGCAAAATAATGGCTACAAGAGAACTTTAATCTTTATATTATAGTTCTTAGACAGTTTGTTCTCTTTCATATTTCCTTATATCAAAGCCTTCTCATTAAGGCATCTACTACATATAACTTGATGGAATTCTAATCCGCAAGACACTTTCCCTGGAACTGTAATTATCTTATGCATTAGCCTAAAGTCAACTAAAGACAAGACACAGTTCCATTACACAAAGGGCGAAGTTCATGTGGCATAAATTACGCACAAATGAGGAGTTTAAGGGAGCGGCGTTCTAGAGGGGGTAAAAATTAACCAAGTTCTTATCTTGTATCTTAAAGATATAAATGTATAACGACGATACTATAAATGTATATGTATATATCTTTAAGATAACTCACATTATGAATGAATCAACGTTTTAATTAATTTATTTCTGTTTACAAATATTGTTTATTATTTGGAAAACCTTTTGTTGTTATCTTTTTAGTACCATGACAGTAATATTATCAGTCGCAGACTGTGTTTATCTTTATGAATTATTAGTATTATCACGATACGATAATTTATATTTTCAAGAAATGTGGAGATAACATATAAACTCTTGATATTCCTGGAACCCCTTCAGACTAAGCCACTGCTGTTGTCCATGAATATTTATGGGCGGTCGAGTAATAATGTCCAGACAAGCCGTACAAGTATCTCATAGATGGCAATTCGGTTTGGCCTACAACTGTTAATTGAATGTAAATGACTGAGGACCTCCATTCAATTACCCCCACCTGTGGCACCGCATAAACACATGCAAAACATATATATATATATATATATATACATATGTATGCATATTGAGAAGTATTATCCCGATGCCGGGTGGAAATCAAATCATGTTTTTGTTGCCAAGTTTGGGAAATCTATGCAAATGCGAAAATGCTTAGACGAAATGCCAGAGATCAGCATAAATTTAGGTTTTCCTTAAGATGAGGCACTGAAAGAAATCTATGTGTAACTATTATTTCTATATATATTTATACAATGAATTTATATTATATTATACATGAATTTCTCAATTTTATAGAATATAGAATTTATTGATTATATAAAGCTTATATTTCCCCCAGTTAATCTTAACTTCCAGTGTGTCTGAGTAGCTTAAGAGTAGCAACACTTGAGTGACGATTGCCACTGAGAAGTGCTTGAGAACTCGAGTGCCGCAAACTTGGCTAAGACTTCAATTTATATGATAACATCGGGCTCCCTGAGCCATCCCTAAACAATTACACATTACACAGCTTCAAGGACCAAGATTTGGTCTGAGAAAATCTTCCCTCTCGACACCGAATAAAGATATGTCTGTCTGTCTCCTATATGTATATAGGTAAAAACTTGTCTCACACCATTTGGTAAAATCATTAGCCCCGCCGCACCTCCAAAGAGATTGGGATCCAAATTGTATTGGCATTTGCTTTTGACTGAAATGTCAACGGCATGCGGCGGCTGGGTCCTAAAGTCGATGGCCTGCAGTGACTGGGAAATTAATTAATAGTTTTGTCTGCCCTTCTCCAATGGCTCAGCTCTGCTCTGCTCTCCCCCCAAAAGCCTGTCCATTTTGCCCGCCCTGAGCTTGGTTGTGCGGTTCTTGGCTTTCGGTTTCCTCTAAGCACTTTGAGTATATTGCAGGACGATTGCTATTAGCATTGATTGGAGGCGTCCTTTGTTTGTCTGGCATTTGACCAAAAGCCCTCGGTCCAGGACTTTGTTGCGGTCTTTGCCGACTTTGGCCTGAGCTTGAACCTGGGATCGTTGGATGATTAGCTGGTTGAAAGCATATAATTATTGTCTGGCTGTGTTTGTGGGCGGAATATTCAGGCAAAGATATTCATTGAAATCCTTTGCCAACTGAGGTGAAAGATTATTATGCAATACAGAGATAGGGGAATGTTTTGCAAGTTAAATATTAATTTCGACAAAAATCTAGTAACATATATTAGAGGTATAGATTTCCCAACCCTTGAGATTTTACCACACAATCTCTAATATTGTGTTAGCTCGAAACAGTCTGAAAGGTGGATAAATATCGATAAAGTTTTACGCAAATTTTGTAGCAACTTTTTGATGAGCTTCCATTGTGCTGTTCTGGCCAACAGATTTTACAGCTACTTAATCGATGTAAACTTGATTTGAAGAACAACAAACGAACCCTGCAAACAATGAGTAGATTGTAAGCAAACAATGTAACCAAATTGTGCCAACAAATAAACATAAACAAACCCCTCCTGAAGGAGGAGGTCAGGTCGAAGGGGAGGGAAGGAGCCGCGGGTCAAGCAGCGCAACAAAAGAAATCGCTGGAGCAGGCAGGCGTCCTTCAAGTGGTTGTGGTGGTGGTGGTGGAGTGGGTGGTGGTGGAGTGGGTGGTGGTGTAAATGCCAAAGCCGAGAGAGTGTTCAGTGATTTAGTGGCCCTGTGTTTACATTCGTGTGGGTTTGTTTGCATCGGTATCTGGATGTGTGAGGGTGGGTTGATTGGGTTGAAGCCGAATAAATAAACAAGAAATCAGTAGCAGCAGCCAGCCAGCCCGAAGCCGAAAGCCCAAAGCCCAAAGCTTGATAAGTGTGTAAGAGGACGGAGCTCCCGAGGATTTTGTATCTGATTTGAGAGTCTTGGCCAGCACTCCGAGTGTTTTCTTTTTGGGGAACGACGCGGTAAACAAATCACAGCATCGAGTGTGTGTGCGTTAACTGAGTTGCCTTTCCCCCGGCTTTGTGACTTGCTTTTCCCTGCTCTGACAATTAAGTGTCTGCCTCGATGTATATTTTTTTCCCCTTTTTGCCGTTTTCTGTTCTACTTGAAAGGTGACAACTCTTCTGACATCTGACTAAAAGCGATATGAGAATGGGGCGCAAGTGCTAGATAAAATTGTTGTGCCATGAATGGCTTGAACTCCCTTGGAGAGAGCATCTTAATTTTCGAATACTATTTGTATCCCAGAGGCCTATAAGATCTAGGGAAACAATTACCTCATTTGCTCCAAACAAAAATCCTAAAATCTGAATCAATTCCCAAGCCTCGTAAAAGAACTTTTTAATAGCAGCAAACTATGTTAGTAAATCTTATTCTAATTCTCAGTTGATAAAATAAATAGTTATATATAAACATTACTTGATAAGCATAAATGTTGTAATATAATCATTGTCTAACTTCAGCTTAATGGTAAGGCTGTTTTATCTATTCGGCGCCGAAGCAAAATTATCAATAAAATGACCGCGATGAAGAAGTGCTTATTTACGTTTTTTCTTTTAATTTTCTATCTTATCAAATTTGTTTAAGAATCATTAATAATTGTTTACTAGTGTCATGCCATATTAATAAACCACAAAAAGTTTTCCTTCATAAATAAGATATGATTATTTTAAGGGCATCAATTTGTTCGTTATCATTACTATGTAGCTTTGACAATGGCAGGTTTCTTACGACAACGTTCCTACATAAGAGCTACACAAATTTGAACTGAACTCAATGGAATACATAAGTTACTTTTATGGAATAGGAAACACCTTTTATCTTCAATTTCCCCTAATAAAATATAGTATTTCTCTCGCTTTATGTTACCAATAATCATATAAACCTGGAAGTTTGCCACCGCTTTTCCATTCCAATTCGAGGTATTCTTTATCACATAATTACAATCATTGTAACATATAATCGAGAGAGATAAGCCCATTGAAATCTGAGCAATCAGTGAGCTTTAGTACCTTAGCTCCAACCAGAGTAATTAACATTTATAATACCAATGCCGAACTGAAGTGATTTGTCAATCAATTAATTAATCAGTGGCAGAACGTATGATTTTCATTTTTGCCTGTGAACACGCGGCTATTGATTGATTTATGAGTCCGCTTGTTGGATATTAGCAATGATGGAAATAGACAAGAGCAGTGGAGTATATGTGTTTGTTAGTCGTATATTTTGTTATCTTTTTGCTCTTATCTTATCACGACGCATACCTTGTACAAGTTGCCGACAAATTAAAGCACTGATTGCAGCAGCACATTGAGACACATGATTCTGTCTGAGTAAGCCTTTATCGAAAATGGTGTGTGGGGCTTTTTTTATTGGGGTCCTCACCCATTTTGGTTTATTTTTATTTGACATCATCGCCATAGCCTTGGCTATGTTACTTTTCTTTTCTGGGCGGGGTGTGGAAAGCCAACTAAAAACTAAATAAAGATACTGACGCAATAACTTTTGGCAAGCGTTTTGGTTTCGGCTATTTCATTTTCGGAAGTGGCATCTTCTCTTCTTCGTTTTTCTAGACCTTGATCAGGAGCAGAGCCAGGGCCAGGAAGCCAGCGATCAGGGGCAGATTCTGTACAGCGGAGCTAGCATAGCAGCTATAAGTATACAAAAATCTAAGTTAGTAAAGGACTTGAGATAAAAGAAATGCTCTAAGACATACCCAGCATGCGTGACATTGTAGATGGTTCCATTCACAAAATTGGTGTATTTCACGGAGGCATTGGCATTGACCTCCGGAATGAGGAAAGACGAGTAATTGGACCTGGCCAAAATGAAGCCAGCGCTGGTCGAGCTATTGGTGGAATCCGTGTAGCTGCAACCCAACAGGTAAGTGTCGTCGACCAGTTCCAGAAGCTTGATGGTCACTAAGCTCTGCTTCTGGCCACCCGTGAAGTTGACGTTGTAGAAAGTTTGGCCAGGGACTAGGGTGATGTTGGCCTTCTCGTATTCGTTCTGGTACAGGGATTGCGTATTAGCCGAGTGGCTGACATTCACCAGCATGTTGGTGTTGTTCCAGAAGCCAATGCTTAGATCAATGCAGGACACATTCGAGGCAGGATTGCGGGCAACCTCTTGCCAGTACCCAGCGAACTAGAAAGGGATACAAGACTTATTATTCATGGGAATAAGAAAATAAAATATTCAACCAAAGATGTTACAAAAAATGGTTGAAAACAGATATATTGCAGAAATTATAATTGTATTTCTTCAAAGTTTAATCAGTTTCATAGCACAATATTAACTATCCTTCAGTGTAGAGTGTTAAATATACTAATTTAAGCGAATATAACATTTAAAAAACCAAGTAAATTAATCAATTATTATTAATCAAACAGGTTATTATTATTATCCTTTTACAAAACAAATGAAATATTGTCTATATTTTCAATTCACTCACTTGTGTGTTGTTGAAATCTATTCCGGTGGCATCAACGCAGGACTTGGGCGTGGCTTGGGCCAAAATAGTTGAAGCTGAAGCCAAGATGGCCAAACAAATCATCACACTTTTGCACATGATGTCACTGGGGTTTTTTTTTACTTAAACTTCCGATAAGTTACGATATTTTAGGGTTTTTTTTTATATTAGATTTCCTCCCGCTGCACGATTTTGTGACTACGAGCTCGATTCGCTGCGAATGCGTCGTTCAACTGAACTCGATCCCCATCCGCCAGTGGCTTTTATAGGCGCGTATCTTTTTCTCTGTATTTTTGCTTCCATTATCGATGCCTGCACAAGTGGAGGCGCTGGGTTCTGTCACTGATTTACGCATATATCTGACGTCTGTTATCGTCTGAACGGCATGACTAATCTCTCTGACTTTAGCAATAAGTTTACTGTTTGTTGGTGGACTAGCCTCTTGTTCTTTTGCAATTGAAAACTCCCCCCCAAGTCACATACTTATATTGATTTACCTACAAAGGTCTTTTCCAGGAAATGACTATTTTGGTTAAAAATAAATTGGCAATATCTATTAACAAGGATTTTGGCGACTCCTTATCTGAGCTTCGTTTTTTTGGACTTTAATTTCTATTACTATCTTTGCAATTAAATTAAATTTGGCAAAGATTTGCTAAAAGAAAGGTCATGGTTTTAATAAAGACTCTGCAAAAGATGAGTTTGATACTTTCAATGATACAATTACCATCGTGAGAGCTGTAAATTCTATTTGAAAGAAGAAAAAGTTGTTTTTTAAGATAAGTACAAATGTTCTTTTTCTCACCTGTACTTGTACCTTTTCCCATTACTCATTCTTTGCCCTCAGTAAAGTAAAGTAATAAACAGGGTAAATTTTGTTATCTCTACTACACTAGATACGTGGGGAAAATATAAAATTAATTAAAATCTTCCACGTAATGTGATATCTAAGTCTTTTGGTGATCTATCTTCCTATAGAAGAACATACATATAGGAAAGAAGCCTTCTACAATTCTGGATTATATGACTTTATATGACTTTATCACTGCCAGACGACACTGAGTCACTATTGAAAGCAATGCAGAGAATGCAAAAAAACAGCACAAGATTCGAAACAAGCTCAGGCAATGATAAAGAAACATAATTTCTCATTTAAATGGCAATCAATGTTTTGAAGAAAAGGAAACATAAGACCAAGTTAAATATAAATGTGCTAAATAAAAATAACAACCAAATAATAATTGAAGGAGTAAAGCATTTAATTTGAGGGATATAAGAACAAATTAAATATGAATACAAGATAATAGATTTACGGAATTTCAACACAAATTACAAAAAACAATAGAATATTAATTGTAATTTTACAAGACTTACAAGATTTTACTAGTATCCACGAAAAAGGAAAACGAGTTAAATTATCAGACTATCAGCACATAGTCCAAGAACAAAGGCCACGCCAATCAATAGCAAGGAGATAATTGTGGATGGATTGGCTCCGGCGGCATAGCAACTGAAATGAAAGAAACTATAATCATAAGAAACAAGAATGGAAGCTAACTTCGGCATGCCGAAGTTTGTATACTCTTGCAGATTGCACATTAGATCATTAGTAATTAATACAATATAAATTATATATATTTATCTTAAAAACTACAAAGTAATGCTCAACTATATTTATTATATTCACATTCACAGTTTACACAGTTCATGTAATATCGTCCTATCCGGCACGTTCCGATTTATATAGTAGTAAAAGTATAGAGAAGACTAAATGCAAAGTTTCATTTAGATAGGTTTAAAACTGAGAGACCAGTTTACGTAGAAACGGACAGACACCCTGCAAGGGTATACAAATAAAGCTAAATAAGATAATAATCAATATATACATATCTATATATACATTTTTTTGTGTTTCTTTTTTCGCTGATAACAGGAAATGAAATATTGATCTATAATTTTACTTAGATATCCCTTACAGGTGTGTTATAAAGTTATATCTATGGAAATTTCAAAAAACTCATCAAACTGACTCTGTTTCTATACTTATCTAAGCATTACTCACGTTTCCCCCTGAGTTATCAATGCCATCGTGCCGTTCAAGAAGTTGGGGAATTGGCTACTGGCATCACTCTCTAGCTTATTGAGGGCATCCGTTGTGGGTGTACGATCCCTGGTTAGGATAATTCCAAACGATGTCGAGTTGTCAGTCTGATTTGTGTAGCCACAAATGAAGGTCACATCGGTGTAGTCGGTGTAAAGGATCTTGAACACTGTGTACGGAGTGTAGCTAGGAGGATTCCAGTAGGTGAAGTTGTAGCCATCTTCGGAAGCACTATTATCAGACACAGTAAGGGTGGCGTTCATGGTTTGATTCACCCAAGGATAATCGGGCGACACTCCGTAGGTGGTATCGATCAGGACATTGTCATTGGCTCTATCCAGCACGGTTATGTTCACCTCCGTGCAGAAATCAATGCCGGCTGGCTGCCTGGCCACCTCCCACCAGATGCCTGAAAACTGAGTGGAAATTGATAAGTTTATCCCTTAACATATAATTCGTAGAGTACTCACCAGAGTCAGGTTCACTGCAATGCTGTTGGACTCACTGCACGCCTGCAAAACTTGGGCTTTGGCAGTGTGACTTCCTAGAAGACAAGCCAACAGGCAGATCAGGCCCAATGCCGGGATTCTTGCTACCATTATTGCGAACGGGTTGTTTCTGACACGGCCTCAGATGAAGAACTGAACCCACGAAAGGTGGGTCATCAAGTATATAATTATGCGACATAAGGCAGTAATCGATCAAATTATATCTAATGAGGCAGTGCATAGTTCACATGATGATAAGTACTGTCCAGGGTTGGTCAATATGTACATATTGGGAATGATAAGAGGAGCACTCTCTTCTTCATATTGAAAACGTATGAATTTCTATATAAAGTGGACACACTTCTGGCTTCACAGTAAATCTAAAATATAAACCATTTATATATACATTTATTGTTTAAAAAGCCGTTAATTTCAAATACTTACACTGCAAGAAAACATTAGTTTTTCTACTTTCTTTGGAGAGGTTTCTTACCATGCAAACACACACACACACATCTATGCATAGACGCCAACACGTTCATATGTATATACATATGTATGTATGTACATACATATAGGGTGCTGCTGCCGCCTGTCGCTGTCCGCGGGAGTCTCAATTATTTTTATTGCTGTTTTAGTGGCTTTAATTATCCACTTAATCGATGTCCACTCGGTAACTGTCTTAAAAATGCAATTTTAGTTACGTGTGTAGTTATTTATTAAGCTCACTTTGGCTTTTGTAGAATGTATGAATGTTTCTTATTCCTTCTCCCGCAGGTTACAGTTGCCGTTACTTACTTCTCAATAAAAATCTTTAAAACACACTTGGTTGATGCTTAATTAAGTGTTGCCGCATAAAACGCCGTTAGTTTTAATGATTTAATCGTTTTGCAGGTGCTATCACACCTTTGTGTTGGACTTAAAACGTTTTTAAGCAGCAGCACGACGCAATTTTTCACTTTTGATCTGCTCTTCTTTGCTTCTTTTTCTCTCGCTCTCTCCGCAAAGCCTACCATGCAATTTTAAGCGATTGGCAAAGAGAGCGAGAGAACAAGAAGGTGAAGATCAAATTGCCAGTGTGAAGTTAAGTTGGGCGCAGCTGCTGCAGCTGCTGCTGCTGCTGCTGAAAATCTATTATTGACCGAAAAAAACGTGTAATAATTCTTAAAAAACATTTAATTCAATAAAGCTAAGTGCGTTTTATGTTGGAACACACAAATTAAGCACTGATAATGTGAATTTCTCCAAATAAGACTAAAACAAAGCAACGCGATTGGCAATGAGAGCGAGAGAAAAAGAAGGTGAAGATCAAATTGCCAAAGTGAAAAGTTAAGTTGGGCGCAGCTGCTGCAGCTGCTGCTGCTGCTGCTAAAAATCTATTATTGTCCAAAAAAAACGTGTAATAATTCTTAAAAAACATTTAATTCATTAAAGCTAAGTGCGTTTTATGTTGGAACACACAAATTAAGCACTGATAATGTGAATTTATCCAAATAAGACTAAAACAAAGCAACGCGATTGGCAAAGAGAGCGAGAGAAGAAGAAGGTGAAGATCAAATTGCCAAAGTGTAAAGTTAAGTTGGGCGCTGCTGCTGCTGCTGAAAAACTATTGTTGTCCGAAAAAAAGTGTAATAATTCTTACAAAACAATTAATTCATTTAAGCAAAGTGCGTTTTATACTGGAACACACAAATTAAGCACTGATATTGTGAATTTCTCCAAATAAGACTCAAACAAACATATTTGCAGAGGTACATACATATACATATGTATGTATGTATGTACGTGTGTATTCGGTATGTTTCTTTTCAATTGGAAACAACGGAACAACGGGTAATCGAATTGAGCAAGGCCCAAAGTGAACGGGTGTCCGATGTATACTTAACAAATAACTACGTAATAAAAAATACATATTCAAAATAGATAGTTGGTAATTCAAACTGAAATTTAACAACAAACATACTTGAGAATCCCGTGGACAAGGTAAGGCAGCTGCAGCCGCTAATTCGTGTGTTCTAATCTCACGCCAATTACTTTCAAACCGTAAACACCCTATGCAAGTCTGGAGCGAGAGCGTGAGCTTGAGCGCGAGCGGGAGCGAGATCGACAGAATAAGAAGCAAAGAAGATGAAAATTGGCAAAGTGAAAAATTGTGGCTGCTGCTGAATAAGAACGTTTTAAGATGGAAAAAAAGTTTAAGAATACCTACAAAATAATTAAATCAATTGAACTAAGTGCCTTTTATGCGGGGACATTGAAATAAGCACTCAATAATTGGAGTTTTAAAGAAAATTACGTAAATGGGAAGTGAGCGTTGGTTGTCCCGCCAATTGCAACTATAAAAGCGGGAAATAGAATGAAAAAAAAAAAAAATCCGAAATTGTGAAAAGGCCAAAGTGAACCTACTAAATAACTACATAGGTAATAAAAAGACCTTTTAAAGACAGTTACTAAGTGAATATCGATTCAGTGGATAATTATAACCGCTAAAAGTACAATAGTACAATACAATACAATAATAGTTGAGACTCCCGCGGACAACGGCAGGCAGCAGCCCCCAGCATGTGTGCATGTATGTGTGTGATGGAGTTTATGCATACGTGTGAATGTGTGTGTACATGACAAGAAACTTTTATTAAAAGAAGAATGCAAAATAAATGTTTTCTTGCGGTGTAAGTTTACAGCTTTAAAGTGCGTGTTTAAACCAAGCGAATATAGAAGTGAAGTAATGACTAAAAAGGTGAGAGATCAGTGGTTTGTTCATGATTTTACAGTTATTTCCATTCCTTTACATTCCTTTCCCCTCCTTGTTGCTAACTCTTACACCTGAGTTGCTTTATATTTCTATTTGTGTTTATTTTTTCTCTTATTTTAAATGTTTTTCTTTTATTTTATGTCTTTGTTTATACAGTGAGTTGGAAAAAAGAGGAGAAAGAAAAGAAAGAGGTGAAATTTCGTGAGTGGACAAAATTGGATATTTTTGACAACAAGAAAAAGACGAAGAAGAAACGAAAATGAGGAAATCGGTAAGTGAAATATTAATTTAATTTTTATATTGATTGTTTTCTGACTCACTTTTTACATATAATCCAAACAAATTGTTTTCTGTGGCATATCTTTGATTTAAAATTTAAAAAAACTTTAAAAATATTTAACTAATTTTTATGTTTTAACAAACATGGCTAGACATGGCTGATTGACCTATTTATGGTAGTATATATGACATAGAGTTTGAAATTAATTCCAAGATTCAAAGCAAACTCGGGGCATATAATAGAACCATTATTTCTCATATTAATTGCATTCAGTGTTTTGAAGAAAAAGAAGCATAAGACCAAGTTAAGGTTAAAATAAATGTGCTAAAGCGAAAATAAAATCCAAATAATATTGATAGAGTGATACATTTAATAAGAGGAACATATAAACAAGTTAAATATGAATCAGGGATACTAGTAAAATCTTGTAAGTCTTGTAAAATTAAAATAAATATCATATTGTTTTTTGTAATTCCTGCAGTAATTCCGTAACATTGATGAATTACTGCATAAATTATAGAAAACAATAAATTTATTTGAATTTTACAAGACTTACAAGATTTTAATAGTATCCCTCAATCATATTTAACTTGTTTATATATCCCTCAGATTAAATGCATTACACTATCAATATTCTTTGGTTTTTATTTTCGCTTTAGCACATTTATTTAAACTTCAACTTGTTCATATTTTTCTCAAATTAAATGTATTGCTTTTTCAATATTTTTTGGTTATTATATTTTCGTTCATTCTTTAAATGGTCAAACGATCTGCACAGAGTCCAAGAACAAAGGTCACAGCAATTAATAGAAAGGAGATAATTGTAGATGAACTGGCACCGGCGGCATAACAACTGAAATGAAACAAATATATAAACATGGGAAACAAGAAAGGAAGCTAACTTCGGCACGCCGAAGTTTGTATGCCCTTGAAGATTGATAAATTATTAATAATAACAATATAAATTGTATATATATGTATCTTAAGAGCAACAAAGTAATGCCTAATTTTGTTACATTCGCCTAAACATATATTCTATTTACATTTACAGTTTTGCACTGTAGAGTAACATTTAAAGATCATTCCAATGAGAGTTCTATGATATAGTAGTCCGATTTTCATAAAATTAAAACTGAAGTTCGTGAACAATATTTTCCGATCATTCCTATGACAGCTATATGATATAGTTGTCCGATCCGGCCCGTTCCGACTCATATAGTGATGAGATTTGATATATAGAAGACTAATTGCAAAGCATTACTCACGTTTCGCCCTGAGTTATCAAGGTCATCGTGCCATGGATCGAGACGTTGGGGAATTTGCAACTGGCATTACTCTCTAGCTTATTGAGGGCATCCGTTGTGGGTGTACGATCCCTGGTTAGGATAATTCCAAACGATGTCGAGTTGTCAGTCTGATTTGTGTAGCCCCAAATGAAGGCGTAGTTGGTGTAGTCGGTGTCAAGGATTTGAAACACTGTGTAGGGAGTGTAATTAGGTGGATTCCAGTAGGTGAAGTTGTAGGTATCTTCGAAAGTACTGTCATCAGACACAGTAAGGTTGGCACTCATGGTTTGATTCACCCAAGGATAATCGGGCGACACTCCATAGGTGGTATCGATCAAGACATTGTCATTGGCTCTATCCAGCACGGTTATGTTCACCTCCGTACAGAAATCAATGCCTGCTGGCTGCCTGGCCACCTCCCACCAGATGCCTGAAAACTGAGTGGAAATGAATTAGTTTATCCTTGGAGTTATAATTCGTAGAGTACTCACCATTGTCAGGTTCAATTTAGTGCTGTTGGACTCACTGCACTGGGCTTTAGCAGTGTGACTTCCTAGAAGACAAGCCAACAGGCAGATCAGGCCCAATGCCGGGATTCTTGCTACCATTATTGCGAACGGGTTGTTTCTGAAACGGCCTCAGATCAAGAACTGAACCCACGAAAGGTGGGTCATCAAGTATATAATTATGCGACAGAGGTATGATGATAGGTATTGTCGGTGATTGGTCAATAATTACTTATATATTGTTAGTGATAAGGAACACTCTTTTCTTTTATCCGAATCGTATGACTTTATATATAAAGTACTCCTGGTTTCATTATAAATGTAGATATATGTATATGCACATTTATTGTTTTAAAAGCCGTTAATTCAAAACACTTACACTGCAAGAAAACATTTATTTTGCATATTTAAGTCTGTTTTGCTCTTTTAGTGCTTTGCAATTTTCGGACTAAAATTAGAATTCTCTGCTAGGGTAATATATATTTTAATTACTTGTACAACAGATGCAAATTTTATGAAAATTACACTTTCACAATACACGCAAAAAGTTTCTAAACATGTAGGGCTTTACCCGTATCAATAAAGTCCCATGATTGGTGGCTTAAGTGCTTTCCTTGCACACTGCAATTGGGAAAAGTGCAACGCAAATGCATATCGTATATCATGGGTCTGTCACTGATAGATAAGCGATAAGACCTTCGTTTCTATCGACTCTCAAGTGCTTGACAAACACCGTCCAGGTCAATGATACTCCCTCGAGTTTCCGGTCAGTGTTCCACACCGACCCGCAATATCGAAAACATTACGCTAAAAACAAATACTATCTGGCCTACTTTTAATTTTTCCCAAGAAAACTTTTAGCGTTTGAATGAAAAACGCTTAGAGATAAGGCTCTGCTGTGCTCTGAGCCACTTCGAACACTGTTCCTGGGTGTCCTGCGTGATATGGGGGGATATGTGTGAGCTAAGCTCTAGCGATTATGTTAACAGCTTCGTGTCCTCGACTTGTCTTCGACGTGTCTTGTAAGCTCTCAAACGCCTCCATAGCACATTAATTTTAAATGTCTCACAAGCTATCCGGCAAAGAGTTGGATATAGGTTAAAGCGAGGGGTAAAAAGGCGAGAAATGAAGACATTTTCCGGTATAGTTGACACACATTTAACGCTATGCGGCCATAGGCTTTTGTCTCGGGAGTCGTTCCGCCTGGCAAACTTTTCAAAGTGCCAAAAGTTGACTACCAAAAAGGGGGTACAAAAATCACAAAAAATACAAGAGCAGCTGCTGGAATAGGTGGCACGCCCACATCAAAAACTGGCAGTGAAGGTAGCTTGTATCTATTATTTAATTAAAACTATTCGGTATGAGAATGTGTGTGGGGCTAAATAATTTAATTGGGCCATGTGTGAAATTTTGTAATGAATGACAAAACGCTCTACGGCCCAACTGCCAGAATAACTTTCAGAGTGAGTTTTGCTTGGGAGCTCTAAAACTTTTGATTAACACAAGATAGAGTTGCGGCTGAGGTTTTCAGGCGAATGCACTAATTGCGTTTCCACTCGATAGTGAAATGTTAGTTGAATGTTTTTTAGAAATGTAAATAATGCAACTTTTAGGGCTCTCTAAAAACAGATGTATTAAGTTATGTAATTAATGTATATCTCTAGCTGTTGACTTCTTTTAATAACTTGACTAGGTCAGTTTTTTGGGATTAGTTGAAAGTGATTTCACGCCAATTAATTTATTTCTTTGAAGCTTATATGAAATGTTATTTATATCCATTGTGTGGGCTTTGCTTTCGTGTGACGCGTGGGTGATGTTAACAAAAGAATCCTATCTTCAAGTGTATCTTTAGCTTTATTACTTGCTTTTGCATTTAGTAAATTCAGCTATAAAGCTTATTATAAATCTCGGCAGGCACTCAAAGTGCACTTTCTTCAATGTATTTAATTATCCCCCGTTGAAGCCTCGAAGGCTTCAATTAACTGCAAACATGCTTGACATGCGGGGCGCTTCCTTTCCCTTTTTAACTTCAGCCAGGAACCACAGCAGAGTGCAACCCATTCAAACTGGTAAAATAATTAAGTTGTTTATCTTAATGCAGGCATATCCTTTACTCACTCACACATCTGCCACTGCAAGTGACTGTTAATTGCACCATGAGCCCTATGCAAAACCCCAAGAAAAGAAAAGGAAAGAGCAGTGCAAACTTTCTATTAAAGCGAAGACTGTAGCGGAGTGCTTTACACACACACACACGGTGTAAGTAAGCTCCTCCATTGCCTTGTCCTTGCCTCGAACGAGTACGAGGGAGAGCAAGGAGGGTCCTTACGCAAGTGCGCACTGCGCAAGCCAATTTAAATTTTAAAATAAGCACATTAACTGCATGCACAAGCGCTAAAGCAAACTCGGCTCACACACTTACACTCCCTTTTCTTTGTGGCCAACACGCGCGCATATTTAATTTGCAGCAGATTTAAGCCTTGTCGTGATTTGCCTGGCTTTTTCAGTTAAAGAAAACTAACGAAATTTGATAAGAATATCCCTTAAAACAGTCCCATAATTATGGCAAATAAAACACACAATTTCTTTCATATTTCATAATGTTGATTTTTAGTTGTTTTTTTTCTTGCTCATTCTTTTAATTATTATCCATATCTGCTTATAGAAAAAGGTGAAACTAATTGTTTAATTGGTTTTACAAAAAATGTATAAACTAACTAGTTCTTGGGGCATAATTAATTGCTAATCGTTTTGTTAATTTAATTGATATTCATATTGATGCTTGGGGTTTTCCTCATCTTCGATTAACTGCCATTAAACATTATAAATTCGATTAAATCGCTCCATTTTGTTGTTTTCGTTTTCCGTCTAGGCATATATGTAAATATAAATGAAAACACCCTTCTCGTATTCCGTACAAAGTCTAAGCAGTTGTAGAAAAGTATTTAGTCGGTTTACGAAAGATCCTTACATAGAGTCATTCATTGGCTTGATATGCTGTCCAAAAGTTATCAATAAATTAACAGGAAAACAGTTTATTTACACACAATTCAATTGAATACAAAACACAAGGGCGTAGAGTGTTTTCTTTTTCTTTTAACATTTTACATTAATTGTTTAATTTATTTCGTGGAAGAACTATAGCAAAAGTTTCTTATTGACTTGTCCGTATGTACAACTTGCGATGGAGAAAAAGGTTCTTATCGAGTTTTGGTTTGCGTTTGAAGGTTTTAGTTTAGGATAAAAGTTGTTGTCTTTAATATAGTTTTTGTACTGATATTGATAGTATTAGAAACCAGGTGTGCTATATTACATAAATACGATCTTTGATATGTAAGATTCAAATAAAAAATGGTAAAAAAATTAAGCCTTGAGAAACCAAGAAGTATAGATTCGGGATGAAGTATTATTTCCTAACTTTATATGGCATAAAAAAGAATACGTTGATATATGTATATATCTAGTTAATGTTTAGGATTAGTCCTTGTAAGCTGCTGATTTTCTTTACTGTTTTCACTCGCTCGATGATTGTGCTACTGCATTTAATTTAACTGGGTCTCTTGCCATATCATATCTATATGTTTTTTCTGATATATAGACCTCGACTTTTAGGGGCGGTTTTCCGAAAATCACAACGACTTGAACTTGATCTAAAGCAATTGTATCTCATATTATATGGCTGACGACGGCTGAAGGAGTTAATCTACGTTATAAAGGATAATCCTCCTCTAAGTTGCTAAGGATCTGCTCTTATCAATACAAGCATATATTATCCTGGGGGTCATGTCTAAGCTATATATGTACTCTATGTATGAATATGTATGGTTTGTATAGACTACGGTTTATAGGATACATTGCATTGTGCTCATATAAGAAAATTTAACATTTCGCTTCCACACACACATCTTCGGGGAAGGGATAGTGGTTATTTTATGACTGCAGGTGGAGCTTTCCTTCTGCTATTTACAAATCCGATACAACCTAGGAAGTGTTTTCTATAGCGCGGGGATTCATTGACAAGGGCGCCCTGCTAAACTGGTTCACTCGATATACCTAATGGGTGTTTTCTCTGATTTTCGTTTCCGCTTCTTGCTTGGATTTATCATCAAGATATAGTTTACAACGCTCTATGGACTAGTATTTAATTCTTTACAGTGTATTATTGTTTCGGTATTAAGTAAAATATGTTGTTCTTCATTTTTTTTATATGTAAACAGTCTTGTTAGAGCCTTTGGTAGTCGTTTGTTTAAAGGCTTAAATGCAATACATACTGCAATTTATGTTAATAAAAGCTTTAAAAAAGTAATTAAAATATTTGCAAACAAAAACATTAACAGGCAAATTAATATCGATAAGTTTAAGAAAGCTAAAGCCTTTAATAATGGGAAAAGTCTTGCAAATTAAAATGTTAAACCAATAAAATGTTAAAATAATGGCTTTAACAGATTCTGTTAGGTAACATTTCTAGTGAATCCAAAAAGTATGCAACAATTTTCATAAACAAGTCTCAATTTTATTGGTCACTCCTAAAAGTATGCACGTGAAAAATTAAATTGATTTTCAAGAAAAACGAAAAGTTGTTAAGTCACAGAATAAAATTCAGAAACAAATTTTCCTTTTAACAAATCTCTTCAAAAGAAACCCCAAATAAACATTTTTAAAATGTGGGAAAAATAAAAATACAATTCATTGATTTCTTGATTGTTTTTTATGATATTTTGGTATATTTTTGATTGACCTTCCTGTCAACCCATATTTTTACTTTTTCTTTAGCAGTTTTCCTTCTCTCATGCTTCACTTAAAAACTAAAATAACAAACAAAACTAATGCGTAACTTAGGAATACATTATAGGCTTAAACTTCATGATACATTATAAATAATGTTTGTAGACCTAATTTATGTTTAGCATTATATTGTAGAATTTGGCAATCACATTGGAAAAACACTTAGGATCTATAAGTTCTTTGCTTTGCGTCAAGTTTTTGCTTTTGAAACAGAGCGAAAAACTTGGTTGGTATGGCAACCTATCCAGAAACTTTGGGCTCTTCTGTTTCGATTTTAGCATATATATATATATATCTATAATCGGTTAAATTAAGCTATTGCTTTGACGATGTACACGCAGGACAGTTTTTGTTTTCTTTGCTTTTGACATTCAGTATGCTTAGCTTACGGACTATGACTAACTGTACAGGGGTTTTCCCTATATACAAAGATCTTCTGGGAGGGAGATAATCTATAACTCTATCTACGCTGGCGAGAGACTCGCCGCCGCATTATTATTTTCCAACTGCGACGTGACGGTGGAGCAGGCGCTGCTATTGTTATTGGGGCTGGTGGCCTCGGCACTGCTATTACTGCTATTTCCCGATGCCTTGGACACAGCTCCGCCCGGCAGGGCCTTGGCCCGGGAGGAGTTGCGGTTCCAACTAAAGTTCAAGGCCGAACTCAACTTGCTGGGTTTGCTAGGTTGCGATGGAGCTTGCATTTGAGGCTCGGCAATGTCGTAGTCCTGGCGTCCAATCGAACTGGCCGGCGTGTGATGACTGTATCCCGAATCGGAGCCGAAGCTCGAGTCTCCATAGGGATGTCTATACTCTCCCGCCGCGGGCAGCAGGGTGGAGGCATAGGGTCTGGCCCCTCCGGCACTCTCATAGTAATAGTTGGCATTGTACATCGGTTCCGCATAGCCATAGGCCGGTTCCTGGGTCAGAGGAGCGGCATGGATGCGATGGTGCTGATGCTGATGCGGTGCCAGTCTTCGGTCCAACATCCGCGGCTGGGTTCGGGCACGCATCGTGGCCGCCATCAGGCCACTGGCCGCACTCGATGGATACTGCTGGGTGGCATTGGGATACCGGATGCGTTCCCTATAGATCGTTGATAGCGGCTGGGTGGGTGCCTTGCTGAGCTGGGCATTAATCCGGTTGCGACGCTCCACCTCGTGCTCCAGCGTATTGTAGAACTGTGGGGCCGTCGAGCGGGCCATGTATCCGAGGGCCATGAGATTACTGCGATTATCGTACAGGGGAGCTAGGTCAGCTATCTCCGCCGTGGAGCTGCTGTTGTTGAGATCCTGATCCTGCGAGCAGCGGGGCTGTCGCGTCCTTGGAGTGCGACGTGTTGAGGCGGCAACGGAACCCGATGCCATTTCGTGATTATTGTTGCTAACCGACGAAGCCGTGGCCGTGGAGGCATCCTGTCCCGTCGAGGAGCCACTGCTGAGGACACTGTGCCGCTCCTGGGTCACCAATTGCAGGTTGGACGAAGTGGGGACCGTTGGCACTGCACCTCCTGCTGCACCTGCTCCGCTGACACTGCTGCCCGTCGCCCTCTCATGATAGGGAGTGGGTCCAGGGCCCGATGGGAGGTTGTTCTCCTTTTGGAAACTGCACTCGCCCGGCAGTGATAGCTCATCTTCGGCGAAATCATCGTCGGAGTGAAGTGGCGGCTCAGATTCGCCATCGGAGTCAACGCGTCCTGGTCCCAGCTCCTCGTAGACATTGTCGTTCGAGCGATAGGGATCGGGTCCAGGTGAAGAGCTGACCAAGAACGGTGGCGACCGTGTCATGGGATAGCCGCTGGGATAGTGAATGCTTTTGCCTTGGAGCAGCTGTAAGCAAAAGAGGAGAGAACCAGTCAGTTAGTTATGATTAAAGAAGCAGTACAAAGCATGGAAAAAGAGAGGGAAAAGGGTTACTTTTGCTTTCTTGAATGCACTTGGAGAAAATATCAAGAATATATTTGCCTTTTTACATTAATTTTCAAGCTTTTTAGAATTTCTATATGTTTCTGAAGCTTTTCCTTAAAAGGTTTTTGAATCATTTAAAAATTAAAGCTTAAATTTATTTAAACAAGTTCAAGACAGTTTTCCTCTCTGTGTGCAGTTGCACGCAACCCTCTTGCGGGAAAAGGAAAGGTTTTCCCAAGTAAGCCGCTTTACAGCCGCCTCGTAGCCTCGGGCAGGACTTTGAAATGTGACAGGACAAGGAGGCAACAGGAAAAAAAGGAAAGGGGCAAGGAGCAGAAGGCAGCCAAGCAGCAGTAAGCAGTTGTTGAAACAGAACAAAGCTGACAAAGGCAAAAAAATATATAATAATAAAAAAGAAACGCTTAAAATGCCACAAGAAATGAATAATAAATGCAAAGAAAACAAGGAAGTTGAAAAGCCCCAGTTAAAGTTTTAAAAGTAAAAGTCAAAGGGGTTGTTTTTTTTTTATTTTCATTTAAAACGGAGCCAAAATACTCAACTAATTGCGAGTGTCACAAGAATATTTAAAAAGTAGGCTAAATAGCGATTGAAACAGGGATGTATTGTAAGCTGTCAGTTTATATTTAACCTCGGCTAAAGAAGCTGCTTATCAGACAATAAAATAAACACACACTCCTTGAAAAATAATGGTTTAGGGAGAGGTCTTGAGCCATCAAAAGCGCAAAACTCGAACATAAAATATGAGAAGCAAAAAAGAATGAAATAAAACCGAGGGGAGCGCGCCATAAAGAAAACACGTTTTGGGTCAGAAAAAGCCTTCGAGGCGTCAGAGTCGTAAAATATTTAGGCACACAAAAGGACCTGAAATTAAGCTGACATGGGGTAGGCGACACACAGGATACACAGGATATGCCGAATATCTTATGAATATGTACATACGTAGTAGAATGTGTATGTGCCACGTCAAGTTCAAGTGTAAATTGAGGCGTACAATGGGCATAAAGAGCAGTAGACATAAATGAATAATATGCAGAAAGGGATATCCTCGCGGAGAAGGAAATGTGGTCTCGTCTTACAATTGAATTGCATGTGACAGGATCAAAAACAGTGCGCAGACAATGACTGCCCAATGTTTTGACAGCGATTGTCGTCGTAATGTTTGGCAGTTGATTGAGGATGGGAATATATGTATTCAGTTTCGTATTGTTCAATATCCAGGAAGGATATATATACTAACCTCGGAGTGATGCTGCTGATAGTGATGATGATGATGCGGCAGCTGCTGGTGATGATGATGCCGGTGCATCACCAATGGCCTATGATGACCCAAATGCGCATCGGGATCCTCGTACATCCCGTGATGATGATGATGATGACCCGATCCCAGAGTGCCGCCGCCCAGAGGCATGGCTCCATTCAGGGGACCGCGGGTGGGTGTCTTGCAGGGTAGCAGATTCTGCACCTTTCGTTTGTTTCTGCAAAGAAAAAAGACAAGAAGGCGATTAGTAAGTGTTTCCAAGGATAGCTAGGAAGAATGATGATGATGATGATGGTGATGTTGCACGGCTTTGGCAGACATTTAGCATCTCAGCCCCGCCTATCGCCTACCGCCTTCCGGCTAATAGAGCCATAAGTTCTTGGCCACGCCAAAGATAAATCGATTTGTAATGACCAAGAGAAGCGGGAGCAGACCAGCGGCAACCTTGATAAATGTCAGGTAAACAAGCCAAGGACCAAGAGATGTAGCTCCTCCTCCTCTTCCTTCCTCTCTGCCCCTGGGAAGTGGCTCCAAAACAATTTGATTAATAAAGAATGCCAAAGCAGCCAGGCCAGAACAAGGACTCCCCCAAAAATTCAATTTAAATGAGCACAAAGCGTCAAGCATGTCAGAATGATGAGGAGGCGAAAGAGAGGCAGGAGTGCTGCGGGGGATTCCCAAGGATTCCCAAGGAGCGACACAACCGCGTGCCATGAAAATAATGAACATAATTAAGTGTTGCCCCTGGCAAAGAAAACAGACAGACAGACAGAGAGACAGAGATTGCCACCCACCATAAGCATAATGAAAAATGTGAAATTAAATTGACGCCACGTAACGGGGCAAGGATGAGCCCCAACATCCTTGTAATGTCTTGTAGGTAAACATGTTGCGAAAGGAAGTCGCTCGTAAAAACTCTCGGCACACACACACGGGAAAGAAAGCTAACTGCCGCTTAAGGAATCCGATTGCGGGAGGACATTAAAAATGCCTACTTTAAGGAGCATTTTGCCCGTAGGTAAAACCAGAATTTGTGAGCATATACGAATATTGTTTGATCTATATTTGGTTTTAAGGTAAAGTTAAGATTTCAATCTAAAAACTAGTATTAAAAACTCTTAAGGGATTAGGTAGTAAACTAGAACTTGAATCTGAAAATCTTCTGGCCTCCTTAAAGCCATCTCATACAGTGTTATATATATTTGATTCCCTGCTGGATATATGTATACATATATAATACACACACACAATCAGGCCTCTCGCATTTCATGTTAGCCTTCTTGTTGACTTTCTGGCGAGAGGAGTTGGCCTGGCGCCTGCCTGGTAAAATATTCTTAAAAGTAAATTAAATAATGTGGCATGCCACAAGCCAGGGCACTCTTAGTACTCTCTTCGCACTCGACTTGTGTCTTTGGCCCTTGACTTTTGCCCCAGAATGAAATGGGAATCCAGCGTCGTGTGTGTGTGTGCTTGATTTCATTTCATTTCACTTACGAGGCGTAAAAACGAAATCAAGAATGGCCATGTGTGTGTGTGCTGTGTTGTGTGTGTATGCTTAACCCTTTGAGAGCCTTGTTTGATTTCTAAGCGTTATGGCCGGACGGCCATAAAGGCTGGGCCCCCAGAGTGTCGTACAATTTGGCAAGAAAGTAAACCATTTGTATGCAAAAAGGGGTTGAAGAGAAGGCCTAAAGCAAAGGCAGGGGAAATACCTTTGTGGGGTGTGTGTGCAGGAAAAGCAACAGAAACAGAAACAGACACGGGGGCTTTTCCTTTTGGCATAAGCAATTTACAATAAAAAGTAGCTGGCAACCAAAGGGGCAACAATGTTGTTGGCCACCAAGTAGTTGGGGGAAGGGGCCCGGCAAGAAGTGAATCTTTTATTTATGAACTCTGAACTAAAGTTCCAGACTCACACTTTTAGGGGTTGCAAGCCCGGCACGTAAGAAAAGTAAAACTACAAAAGAAACGCAACCGTATAGAGCTGGGAAAAAAGAATGAAAAGTACTACGTATATTCCCCAGGTAGAAAGAAAATGTTGGGGGAATTGGAAAAGCGAAAAGAGTGAGGAGTGTTAAGACTTTGATATGGAAATATCTTGGTAAGTTAACTAAACTGAGCTGAGCAAAGATGGAAAAATAAGTGCCTCATCACATCTTTATTAACAAAACTCTAGTAATTTCCGACTCTCTTATTTGTAAATACATTTTGCCAGGCAATAATTTCATTTGAAGTGCAGTCAAAGTAAATGCTATTTGACTGCCGCCTCCTTGCTTACTTAGGCCACAAAACCGACACCGCCACTTTGGTGGTCACCCGGCTAGAGTCCCTCCTCCTCCTGCTCTCCTCCCTTGCAATTGACCATTGCATAATTTCACTGCAGTTGACCAGCCGGCGGCAATAAGCAAACCAACCGCAGAGATAAAGCCACAGACCAAGAACCCAAGACTGGGCATCAAGTTACCAAAAGCTGGAGGACGTAGGAGGGAACCAGCTGTTGACAGCGTGAGTCACATGGCAACTGTGGAGATTCCAGGGGTATCGGGGGTTGCATTTGATTAAAAAGAAAAGAAAAGAAAGGAAAGGGAAAGGAAAACCCCAGTTGCCAAGACGACAGCCCGAAATGATTATGATGAGCATCTCTTGCTCCTTGGCTTATTAAGCTAAAATTGTGATTGTTATGGCACACACACATCCCGGAACTCGAAGAGGAAGTCAAACAGACGTCGAGGGGGGATGGCAGGTAAAATTGATTTTATTTATTTAACAGTCAACAATATGCTAATACTGTTTGCTGTTGTAACTTTTACTTCTCCTGGTTGCCGTGGTTTTCCCTCCCAAACTCATTTAATATGAATGAGCAAGGCCTTGACTCTGTGGCAGTCTTCAATTTTTGTAAAATATACCACAATATATCGGAGCTCGGTTTAATTGCACACAAATTAAGCTTGAACATTTATTGAAATATTATTAACTGGCGACAATGTTAACAATTTTAATAACAAGCGCTTCAGATTCAGGTTTTTTTACTCACACATGGCAATTCGTGTAATTAATAAAGTTCCAATATGCAAACATTTGCACCAAAGTGCCAGAGTGTGTGCTGAAAACACTCTGGCGGTTTATTAAAATAATTAAGGTAATTTCGAGCGGAAATGTGGGGGAGAAAACCCGAAACGGACAAAAAAAAAGACAAAATGCATCATAATAAATGCAATTTATGGTTTGAATTTTATACGATAATCGTTTCGGGGATATTTAATTAAATATTTATCGAGAATTTAAAAGCCTGGTATATATATGGGTTTTTCTTGCAGTGCCCTTGACTTGGCATTTATGATTATTTGATTTGTTTTGGAGGCTCGAATAGAAATATAAATAAAATTAGTTGCTATTTTATTTATGCGTTTTCATAGTTATGTTTGTTGGGTGTTCGTTTGTTCTGGGGTCCTGGACACGCAGCACATAAAAGCAAAAATAATGTGCCACATCATAAATGCCACAAAAATGGCACGCACACACACACACCCACCCAGGGGGGAGGTCAGACACTTAAAGCATACACACACATATGCATAGATAACTATGTAATAAAGATGCCCGTTTGTCCCTATGTGTTTTTTTTTTTGCCTTTGTTTTCGGCCCCAGCATAACCTCAAAAATGATAAAGCACAACAACACAGCATTCGGTGTTCAGTGTTGTTCTTTTACCATCCTCCCACCCGCTTTTCCGCCCGCTTTTCCACCCACTGTGCGTGTGCGTGCGGTCAGCAAACTTTAATGAATATGTATGAAAATCGCTTGTAGCATTCTCCATGCCTCTTTTTCCCAAAGACCCATGAATATTTCCGTTACGTTCAAGTTTTCTTCCTGTTGTTGTTGTTGAAAGGAAAATCGATTTCGGAACCAGAACTCTGTGAGTGTGTTTTTGGGTGAGAGCATGTTCCTTCAACACTTGTTGATGTTAATGAGCGCCTGGGAATGGGTGAAGTTTTTCCGGCCTCTAAGAACCCAAACCTAGTCCGGAAAATCCTTGAAAAAAAGGAAGCATGTCCTTGGTCTAGCTTTAACCCATTAAAGCTAAGGGGGGAAAAAGGCATGAGAGGAGCGGAGAAAAAAAAAACAGTGTTGGATTGAGTGTAAAGCTTTGGCCTTGCCTATAACCATTATCTAGCTTGGATTTCATCTCCCCCTCCCCCGTCCCTCTAACGTTTTCACTCTGCTGTGCGTGCAGAAAATCTTTTGCCAGCTTTTCCAGCTTTTCTCCTGGCAGAGGGGGTTTCCACACTGCATTACATGCAAACAATGTCCAAGGGTTTGTTTCGTTTTTTTCTGCTGCTGCTGCTGCTGCTCTGCTTTTGTGGTTTATTTCTGTAGCAGATTTCATTTCGTTTCACAATCTCACTGAGTTTTTTTTCGAGTGTGGTTCTGTGTGTGTGTGTTTTTTGGTTTATTTTGCGGGGACCGTAAAAGTAAATTGTTTTATATCTTCACTGGGTTTTTTTTTTCTTCTTTTTGATTTGTGTGAGAGGGTGTGCTTTAGCTTTTTCCTTGTAGCTCTCACTGCAGCAACATTTATTTAAAATTTCAATTTAATTTAGTTTCGGTTTTAAGTGCATTCAAACCCACTAACACACACGTATGACCATATAGGTCAGTGTGGCTCCGCTCAAAAGTAGACTACATTAATTTTCGTTTGCCCTTGCGTTTTTTCCCCTTCCTTTCCTATCGCTCTGTCTCCCTTCGACAGCTTTGGAAAATTGGGGTTTTCCCTGCTTTACTATTCTTTTCTTTTTGCTTTTTGTGTTTTTGTGGGAATTTTTTCTCTCTCGTTTTTTATACACATACATTTTTGATATAGTTTTATAATGTTTATGGATTGCTTGCATTTTTTATATGGCGCGAAAATTTTTGCGGCCCAACACTTTGCTTTTTATTTTTTGATTTACCTGGTTCACCTGAATTCTGTGAATTTATTATCCTCTGAGCTGACCAAGTTGATTACACATTTCTCTTTTTTGTAGCTGGTGAATTATTAAGTTGGATTTTAAATCCATGTTGTAATCTTTGTTATATGTTGGAGTTTAGCTCTTTCTAAGCCACATTCCCTTATGAAAAAACTTTGCCCTGCTGCCGGTTACAACAGAAAATTTCTATAAAAATGCAGCAATTCCGCCTCTTTATCGCATCTCAGTCATCTACCAGTGAAAACTTTACTCTTTTTTTGTTCCAGCGGTTTGGAGCCACATAAATCATAGCGGCAACAACAACAGCATGCCGCATGCAACATGTTGCAGGCCATGGTTAACGCCTCCTTTAAAGCCTCAAAAAGTCTGCAGCTTCCAGTGCGGCAAAAGAGAGGAAAAATAAAGAAAGAAAGAAACATAGTTGCCAGAAGGGGACAAGCCGCGATAATAGTCAAGACAAAGCCACACAAGGCGATTAAAGGGGGGCGGTTTTTCACAGGGGAAAATATCATCTGAGTGACTGGAGTGTGTGTGTGTGTGTGTGTGTGTGTGGGCCAAGCCAAGTAATTGAGTCATTGCGGGAATCTTTGCTCTAAGCACTGAGAAAAATAACTGCTTTAAATGTAATGAAAATGTGCACTTATCTTCCATAAATGTCAAGTTTTCCCAGCTGCTAACATTAGTTTATGTTTCTATACAATATATATCTTGTGTTTAAGTAATTCTTTCAAGTGTACTTACTTCCAAACGAACAGCGACGAGATGAGAACAACCAAGACCAAAAGCAACGCGAACACGGCTATCATGGCTGATGTGGCCAAAGACTGACTGCTATAAAGGCTGGCATCCAAGATCTGCAAAGATATATAATATATATATATATATTAAGACAGGATTTAGTAAGGGGGGAAAGTAAAAGTTAAATGTGAGTAAATCAACGCTCAAAACTCAAACACAAAGCCATTTTGCATATAAACAAAGTCCGAGGGAAGAGATGGAAATGAAAAAAGAAGTGGAAAACCAAGGAAAATATTTTAGTAAATATGCCTAACGAAATGCAAACAAAAGCGCAGAGCACGCGACTTGGGCTGTTAACCTTTTTGGTTACTTGGTTTTCCACCATCTCAAGGAAGTCTTTGGGAGTGTGTAGGCGTTTCACCTTTTTGCGTTTTTTGTTGTTGTATTTGTATTTTCCTGAATTTTCCTTCGACCAGGCCCAGGAAATTAAGGTCAGCTGAGTGGGGATAAGGCCGGCAAATTGCCTTTGAATTTATGCTTGAGCATGCAAAAAGCAACAAAAAAAAGAAAAGTTACTAAATAAATGATGAAGTCGGGTATAAATAGGGAAATCAGTTGATAAGAGAAGAAACTTGGTAACTGATTTATCCCTAATAAAGAAAGACTAGACTGAAATCTTGACTTAAAGCTTGTGAAAAAATATTTGTAATATTTTATTTATTTCTATTGGAAAAGATTTTCCCATTCGGGTTTGACTGACAACTTTTCCTTATCGCATTTCCGCCTCTCACCTGTCACTGTCAAAAAACTAGATAAACCTACCTAAAACTCAAGTATTTTTAATGAAGTATTTTTTTTTTTATTATTTATTTCTTATTTTTATTTCCTTTGTTTTTATGGAGCATTTGACCCGAGAGTCGAACTTGAAAATGCAAAACAACCAGCAGAAGAAAAACACCTCCACACATGCACACCTGTCGCTTTACATACACTCACACACATATACGCAGCATAAATCACTCAAAAACATGGAAAAATATTTTTCCAAGAGAAAGAATGAGGCAACACACAGAAATTGGGGTCAAACTTTGACAGCTGTGCAAATAATTTTGCCGGCAACTGTGTGCCGATGATGGTTGTGCGTTGTTTGTGTGTGTGTATTTAACTGGCACACTCATTGTACGAGTGTTTGTATGTAGGTTACACTTTAATTCGTAATGCATTTTATGCATTTACTAATTTATTAAAAGCATTATTCCCAACTTTTCCGTTTTCGATTTCGATTTGGATTTATTTGCTCAAATCAAATACAAATACGAGTGGCACAGTTTGCAGCAATAAATGCGGAAGCAAAAGAGTGCTCTCTCTTATCTACCCCGGGGTAATTAAACATGCACTTGCAGCAAGTATAAATATTATTAATATTTCATTGAGAGCACCATAAACACACACAGAGACAGATTGAGAGTGCAAACAAATAGTTTCAGAAAGAGCGCACATTTTCATAGATAAGCCATAAAAATATTGAACCAAATGGCGAAATTGTTTAAATTATCGAATTTTTGGGGAGGGAAATGCTCCCATTTTCGATTGCTTATCACCCTAACAAACACTTCAAAAAAATTAAGAAATTTTGGTTGTATTTGGAAACCCATTCGAAGACAAATCGTTGAAGTCAAATACAAATAATAATAAATTAAACAATTATGTATGGCAAGCGAGTGAGTGTGTATGTGTGTTGAAAATCTGTAGGTGGGGAAATCCCAAACAATAATGGAGCTGCTGCTCCAAAACTCGTAATCAATTTGATTAATGAGACCTGACGCGAGTTTTCCCCTCTGTCTTCCCTCTCAGATTGTCTCAGATCATTCGATTTCGATTGAATGTAGAGCAGTGGCATGACTTGAGGGGAAATGTACAAAAGCTACGCAAGCTCCAGGGGAAAATGTGTAAAGAAATAACACACATGATATGTCACCAAAAGTTTTCAATGTTACAGGTTTTAAATTTCATGAAAATGTATACTTAATCTTTTATTTCCCTTATTTTTAGTACTCTAAACTCTTAACATTCCAATTGTATAGATATTTTCTATATTTTCCTGCTCAAATTCCCAATTGAATTTATAGAAATCACACTTGCGTCATTCAAGTTTCGATTTCTTTGCTTTGTGAAAAGAAAACGAAACAATTTCCTTTTGTCTCGCCTGGGCAGCATTTCCCTCTTACGCTTCACACATTTTCCAGTCAACTTTTGAACTGCATTGTGTGCGTTGATAATCGATAAATCTAAAATACATGTGTTACTGTGGACTTTACCTATTTGTAATGCTCATTTTGGGGCCAGGCAAATAAATGAGTTTTGGTGGGGAGGAGTGTTTTGGAGAAGGAGACGCATTGCGACAATTGTCGATTGCCACCGAAACGCTTCCAGCTGCCTCATGGATTAAGCCAAAGATAAAACACAAAAAAAAAACAGTGTTCCAAGTTGAAAGTAAACATGGGTCGCATTATCGATAACAACAAAAGTAGAGCTGCTGCCAGATAAGCAGTGCCACCGTTATGATTGAAGGCTTTCCATCAACGGGGAGGGGAAAACAAACCCTCTCTTTCGACGTATTTACACACCCAGCCCCTCCTGGGCATTTCATAAATTTAATTAAATAAAGAAAAGTAGGCAGCAAAAAAGGAAAAAAAGGAGTAGGCAATGCAAACAAGAGATAACGATAACACTTTGAACGATTTATGTCTAGGCATAGGTTCAGGGAAATGTAAACAGATACAGATACATTTTGAATTCATATTTACTTTTGTTTTTCTTTGTACTCACACACATTTTCCTGTGCATGAAAAGACTCTAACTTGGTCGATAAAATAATTAAGCCCTCCTTCAAGTTGCAGACAACAAAAGCCATTAGTCGAAGGGAATGCTAAATAATGGCATAAAGTTTACACCTCCCCCCAAAACAGAGAATAATAATAATAATAATAATAAAAAACCAGGAATAAGGCAAAGTGAGATTAACGAAGCAAAAGCTGCAAAATGTTGTTTACTTTTATGCGTATATGCTGGCTTTTCTTTCTGTGGCAACTTTTTAATCATGAAAATCACCAGGCTCAAGGGCGGCTTCTTGAGTAGGCCATAAAGTGAAATGTTTGCCTTTGCCTTTGACCCAATTTTTAAGTGTTGCCAAAGTGCATAAAAAAAAGCTCAAACAACATTGTAGAGCGGGAAAAATGGGAGTTGTTCACCGTTTGGCAAGTCATCAAAATCAGTCGTCAAAATGTGAGAGGGGAAAAGTTGTACTCACCGCTGCAGAAAACTTTAAAGTTAACAACTTTTCTCACTCTCTCCCGCTCTCTTTCTCTCTGAATGACGACGAGCGCGTTTTCATTTTCGTGCCTGATGAGAAAAACACAAAAGTTTACCCGCCATCAAAACACGACAAAAGGAAAAGCTAGCAACAAGCACGTGCCACTTGCAGGAGGAAAACTATTTTGCAACAACAATGGCCAGAACTTGGCTGCTGCTTTGATAACATGGAAAAAGTTTTTCCGAACATGCGATGCATGTGTGTGGTTGGCGCCTTTTCTTTATTTTTTTTTTAACACCCCCAAAAGCCACCCACAGAAGTTCGATTGCCTCTGCTGCACGTGCATATCTGCAATCGACCTGGTGGATATCCTTCTACATACCACCCACCCCCGATGATTTTTCCGCCCTGTTTTTGTAACCACTTGGCGGTGCAATTGTTTGGAAACAACTCGTGATTGAGCCCCATTCCCATAAGATGCTTGCAAGGGCGTAATGAGTTGCGAAACTTGTTGGGCCGAATGTGGCTAAGATGGCGCCATTCGATGGAGGGAAAATGGAAAAGTGCAACAGGGAAAGGATCGTAAGGGATTTTCAATTTAATGAAAATTGTAAGCAAGCTAATAAAAAAAGCTGATACATTGTATGTGTGTTTCATTTAGTCAAGCAAAAATGAGAATATTTCCAGTTGCTTTTTAAATATGTATATGTATACATTTTCCCGCATGAAAATTTTATATTTTTTACCCAAAACATTTTTCATTGTGCTTCTTCTCCCATTCTTGCTCTCTGATTTCTGCGACTGTCTGCAGCTGTGTCTGGCTATGTCAACTGTAAACAACATCAACACTAAACAGTAACAGCAACAACAACAGCCTTGTCATTCTAAGCCAACACCACCCACCCACAGGACCAAAAACCCCACCCAATGCTAGGGAAAACCAAAAGCCAAAGCGCCCAAAAGCAGACTACAACAAAAGCCAAAGGCAACAACATTTTGCTATATATAAACATATATAGAGAGAGAGAGAGTGGAAAAGAGGAAGTGGCTAAGGAATTTCGCATTCTCACGACATTTGATATCAATGTCATGCTATTTGCTACACACACCCAATGTCTGGGATGTCCTTTCGTCCCGCTTGAATCCTTCACGAATCCTCACATACATACGTACATATATCATCATCTTCAACAGTTTCCTCGTCGTCGTCGTCGTCTGCTTAAAGGAAAAGTTGAAGACATTTCTAGGGAGTAGGAAGCGAAAGCTGGAAAAAGGATTATTTGCTGCCACGCCCATTGGAGCGAATCAGGAGCTGGCTTGTCAAGTATTTTTGCTTTTCCTTCGCTCACATGAAATTTAATTTCGCTTGTCTGGCGTGGAATACGCCACTTCCGTTTGCCTTTTAAAGGTTTTTTCCTCGTCTCGGGATTTTCCGTTTTTTTCCCCCCGTTTCTTCCTTCTGCCAGTTGACAATTACACCCACACACATTCACACACGCGAGCATTTCCCCCAAAATTGGCACAATTCCCGTTAAACTTATCAATTTGATGGGCGAACGAAGCTTTTCCGCCATTGAATTTTATTCCTTGAACGCTAATCCATTAAATTGATTCGGTTGCTCAAATTGATTTTAAGCTGATTTTGTTGAGATTTCTAATGTGTTTACCTGGGATTTGTGTGGGGAAACTTCCCAATTTTCAAATCTAATATTCAAAATATAATCTTTGGGTGCCGTGAGATACAGTTTTTCCGACATAAACTGCATGTTAACATTAACATTTGATTTGTCAGCATAAATCAACGGCGACAGCTTCAAGTGCCCACACACGGACACGGGACTGACTTTGAGACGAGTTGATATGAAGGGGACCACACACAGATCTGGTTTATATAGATACACTTTTCTTTTTTTCCCCCCTGTTCTCCCATTTCGTTTATATTTATTTAAATTTTTCATGTTGAAAATTAAGTGGAAAACACTCGACTCAACTTGGAGTTGGAGTTTTGGGGTTGGAGTTGTTGTTGTGTGGGGCACGTGAAATTTTAGGCATTGACCGCTGATGCCTCGGTGTTGATATGTGGAATTTGATCTTTGTTTTTAACAGAACCCCCCAAAAAATATACATTTATCGCCTAAACAAACACTTGCCCCAGATTAGACGAGTGCCGAGTTACAGTTTTTCCGCATGAAAAATTATCTGTCCTTCGTTCTTGCCACACAACAAATTATATATATAAATATCTATTTTTTGTTCTGTCATTTTCTGTTTCTCTTTTTTTTTTTTTTGTAACCGCTGACAACCTTTTAAAGTTGAGGGTTGATTCCGGGGCCATATGTTGCCAAAGGACTGTCGGCCGAAAAATGCTTTTTTGTGTTTGTCCTTTTCGTGTTGCTGCCGCTTAACTTTTCATTGTTATTGTAATTTCTGTAACTGTGTTTCCCCTGCCCAAAAGAGAGAGAGAGAGAGGGGATGGTCATCAGCATCATCATCATCATCATAACGATGAGGTCCAGCTTCAAGGAGCAACAGCTGTTGCTTGGGCAACTCTAGGAGGCAAAAAGGACTTGAAACGAAAGGAAATTTGTTTCACTTTGCTTTAAAGTGATGCCTTGCGGTTCCTTGTGGGCGATGTGTGTGTGTGTGCGATTGGGCGTGGCATGTTGGCAATTTTTCATCGAGTGGGTGGCAAACTTGAATTTAAAGGACCCTAAAGTGGTGGGGCTCTATAGATGAGATGTTAACTTGAAGGTTTTTTAAAGTTTGAAAGCTGGTTAGTCCCTCAATTATCCTTCTGGTCCACAAATTGAACAGATTTTCAATCAAAAAGCCGCATTTATATGACTTGTCAATAAATCAAATCGCATCCTGCAGTTGATTTTCCCCGAGTACCTACTCAACTGTTAACATTTTGTTAACATAATGCCACGCCCACGGCCACTACCCACCACTTGAACTACAACAAGGAAGGCTTTTTGTGTTATTGTTATTTGCATATAACACATAATTCAATAAAGGCAACAGAAATTTCTGACACCTCTCACAAAAAGCCAAATCACTTGCCAACTCATTGCGGGGAAAATACCAACAGCTGTGCCAAAATGCAGTCCCTCATTATGGACGAGAGAGAAGAGAGGGTTGCATAATCAACCCCCTTTGGAAAATCCCATTTGCAACGCCCTCAAAATTATAATCAGCCTAAGCTTAGCATCAAGGGGGAAGAGTGGAAGTGGAAGTGGAAGTGTCACCTAAAATTGCACAGAAGATGCAAAGGTAAAGCCAGATTTCTGTGTTGAGGATATCCTTCGACTTTCCTCACTTTCCTTTCAATACTTAAACTTCAATTTCAAACTTACCGGCATTGCCTGGCAGACATCACTGTCCCATTGCTGCTGGGCCAGAGCCTCCTCGTTGCAATCCTGTGGCACCACCGTATATTCCGCCAGAGCCGGTGGTCTGGGTGGTGGCGGGATGAGGAACTGAGGTGGCGGAGCCAGTGGCATGCCCGAGCAATCATCGCAGTCGAACAGGAAGAGTTCGGCTTCGGAGAGTTCCATCATATCCAGCATTTTCCACATTGAATTTGTGTGTGTGTGTGTGATTAAGGCTTGTCTCGAGTGGTGGGGGACGGGGGATCCTTGCTTTTCTCCGTGGGATTATCTATTAGTGGGGGATTCCCCGGTTTTCGCTTTTGAAGTTTTTGGGTGCGTGTCAAATTCGCTGCCCGATCGCTGTCATCTGGACAGCCTTCATCGGCGGCCTTTGAGCTGCAAAGAACGAAAGAAATGGAAAGAAAAAAGGACTCGGGTTAGTTGAGTTTTGAAAAGTACTATGCTCTCTGTGCACAGCATGTGTCCTTGTGTCCTTTTTGTGTGCTAATTATCTCACACATGGATGTCCTGGCACGTAACAATCCCTACCCGTAATTAGCTTGATCCTGGCCACTTTCCGGCATGCACGCTGCTTGTCACCCAACCAAAAAAAACTGGGAAAAACGGAAAATATATATAAATTTATATCTCCCCCTAACCCACCCCCCTTGGAACCAATGTTAATTTTTATTGATTTTCCTTAATGCGTTTCCATTTTTTGCTATTTATTTTTATTTACTTTGCTTGCCAGGACTTTGCTCTGCTTTTTTCTTTTTTGTTTCTATTTCTATTTTTATCCCTCTGCACCCTGATTTCTGTCGACTCACTGGCAATTGTTTTACCCCTAGAGTGGTGTGTGTGTGCTGCTTATTTTCTATTTTCAATACTTTTATTATTATTATCCTTTTTTTCCTAACTGCTGCGGTTGTGTTTTTTCTTCACACATATGCTGACAAAATAATTGAGAAAAAAACAGTTGACTTGGTGAGACCTTTTTTTCGGGTTTCAATTGAGTTAGGAAGGATGATTGATGATCCTGCAAGGCAACCCGATATATTACGAGTCCGGTAGTAGAGTAGGTAGAAAAGTATCCCGGGAGTTTAATCGAAACTTAAACATTTTAATGCCGCTTGTGGGACTTGTCTTTCTCTCCCTCTCGGAGGCACTCTGACAGCTCAAGAATTCCCCATCTGCTGCTGTGGGGTAGTCCAAGTCCAAGGTTGGAACCGTTTGGGATTGTGATTCTGATTTCGATTCGAGGCTGGATTCCCATTCTCAACATATGTTGCCAGTTGGCTTCGTTTAATTAGCTGACAGTTCTGGAGAGGCACCGAGACGCGGCTTGAGACTCGCCCGGCAGCCTGATAAGATCTCACAAAAAAATATATATATGTATATACACACAATGTGCAGTATCTGTGTGTGTTGTCTTGCAATCAAATGTAAGCCGCTGTTGACATTGGAGATTAAAAGATATTAAAAACGAAGACGACAACGGGCCTGGGCCTGGGCCTGGGCCTCTGGACTCTGGAGTAGGAAGCAGGAGGAGAGAGTGGTTACTCTCGGATGTGGACACAATGATACACAGACAGGCAGACAGTTGGAGGGACACACAAAACATGTCAAAGATGAAATGTTGTAAAGAAAATTGAATTGAATTCAAGTCCAGTGCAGACCAAAAACTAATAAATAACAAAAGAAATCGAAGGGGATATAAAAGTATAGTCGAAGAAAGAAATCCGCGCACACACTTCAAACTTAAAGCTTTAGTTTTTGGGGGACTTGTCTTTATTTTCCAACCTCGGAGTCTCTTGAAAATCGATTGAATTGTCTGGCTTGGGTGATTAACTTGAGCAGACAAAAACTAAAAAAAAAAGAAACGAAACGAAACGGTCGAGAATAATGAAATAAATCGTGTTGAAAAAGACCCAAGAAGGGACGAGAGGAAACCCAAGACCAACCGACAGACAGACAGTCAACGAAATCGATTTGTTTTGAGATTAAGTCGCCCCTCCTTATACCTTCCCTTGGACTTCGTCTTTGCTTTCATCCAAAGGACCAGGAACCAGACTTAACTGAAGCATAAAACGGAAATGTTATGGACAGGCCCGAAAAGGAAAGCGTAATGGAAATCAAAGTCCTAACCAAATCAGGTGGAGCGCTCTTTCGGGGAGGGGGGCAATTAGCGTGGGCAGCAACTCGTTTCGATAAGAACGCGGATGGATCTGCAATCAAAGGCAGAGGACTCTAAAAGCACTTAGATAATTGTCTTTAAAGCTGGACACACTTTTGGTTAATTGCCTTAAAGATGGGCACACTTCCCCAGGACAGCTGCCTCGGTCCAGAGAATTGAGGAGCAGTCCCCTTGTCTAATCCAAACTTTGGCCATAATTCAAACACTTCAAGCCAATTAAAGGGTTTTCCACTCTCATCCCCTTTCTTAGAGTGAACAATTTTCCCTATCTTCCTTTCACTTTCCGCACTTTCAACTCAAGGCTGATTTATTTTGGGAGAACTTCTTTGCAGTACTTGACAAAAGACAATTGCGGTTCAAGTATACAAGAACAGCTGGCTGAAATTTATACACTTCTATAATTGAATTGTTTGATTAGGAAATTGTAAAAAAAATAAGAAGAAAGAAAAGAAAGTAAAATTAGGTGGACATGGCCCAAAAAAAGTCAGGGGGTTGCAACGCGTCATGGCCATGGAAATGACTCAATTGGAATTGGGTTCGTGTGTCGGTCAGGTAAGGGAAACGCATTTATTAGCTACAATGATAAATGTTCGCCTTTGGATTCTAGGCAAAAGGATCTCCGAAATCCCTCCTGACCGCCAGTCAATGTGTAATTTTAATTCGTTTTGGGTCGCATAGAGGAAATTGATATGGGTGCGTTGTAGTTTTGGAAAAACTCCGAGCCTCAGGTAGAAATTTCAGTCTCTCTTTTCTACAGTCTCTAGGTTTTATGTGTTTCCTTCTCTTATATTGAGACATTATAGCTTTGGGTATTGATATCACGGCGGGGGATTGTCTGTCGGACTCGTAAGTGGAACAAATGTGGCAGACAGTTGGAATTATCCTTGGAAATAATGATTGCAAAATCTTATTTTCAAGGATTTTATGTCTCTAAGATAACTGCCGGCTATCTGGTTCGTAAAACTAGAACGAGGTAATAATTACTTTTAAGGGAAATGATTTTAAATGTGTCTTCGTTATTTCAAGTATCTTATCATTAGACTTTTAAATAATGGATGCTATATTTGAACCGGATTTTTATAACTTAATTTAAGAAGTGATTTTATGAAGTTATTTTTTCATTATTTGGGATCTTACAATTTAGGTTTTTCTCCTCAAAATCTTGTGGGAAATATTTTAGATTACATTAAAGCCGACTTTTCCTGGTTTTCTTTCATTTTTAATCTATGGAAAATGCCTTGGAGCATGGCTTTGCACGCACAAATTACTCGGATCTGGGCCCTGATTTAGCCGAAAAACCTACGGCAACTTTTGACTTAGTTTACATATCATTTATTATTTGCCAGGGCCAAGTGTCCTCAGGGCCTTTGTTTTGTACAAGGTGTGTGTGTGTGTGTTTGTGTGTGCTTTCCACTAACTAAACAAAACTTGCCACGCCCCCGAGGCGTTAAGCATAAAAAAATAATACCAAGAAGCAAAGAAAAAAACTTTTAAATAAAGCAAAGAATGGACCAGAGGGAGAGGGCAAGATGACGGCATGTCACATCAATGTCACTCAGCATTAAGGCTCAAAGAGGCAGGAGTGAGGGAAATTCATGTCCTGCGAGTGCGGCGATAAAGTTTTCTTTTTCTCTCTTTTTTGTTCTCCTCTTTGCCAGTTCCTCTTGGGCCGCCGGGCAGCTGAGCGTGAAAAACAGCCTCCCGAATTTCCCTGAGCTCCTGCAGCTTTTCCTTTTGCTTTCGCTTGTCCCACGCTTTTCTTTTGCAAATAAATTTACAAGCGTATAACAAATATTTTGCTTTGTGTTTACAATTTCTTACTGCTTAATATTCTTTCAATTTTTTTTCTCACAATTTTATATATACATATATAAAGAGACCTATTTGCATAAGATACTTTCTGTTTTGAGGCAGAGTTTACCTTGTAAGTAGCTTAGGCGTATGCCATAAGTTGGTCGATTCAATGAGCCGTGTTCTTTGATGGAGACAGAGGAAAATATTGATGTACTCGAAGGTGAATTGTATTTAGAGAAAGGTGTTGTAAAGACTTGAAAACCCATAAAGGTTTTTTGGTTATATAATTTTATTTAATATATTCTGATGAAACTAAAGTATATATATTCCTTATTTTCTTACTGTGTGCACTGGCGACACTTATTCCTTAAATTTATGTTTCAACTATGGCTAAAACCGAGCTCGAGCTGGCTTATAAATTTCATGGGCACACGCTTGGCATACTAATTAGCCAAGGGATTTCATTCGAAAAAAAAAGGCTACTAACAGCCAACGGAAATCCTGTGGAAAAGGGCCAACATGTGTACAACTCAATTCTGAATTAAAATTCAATTTGCCAAACAGGTAAAAAGGTTCACACGACCACAACCGCATTTCTGTTCGATTCGAAGAACCCTTTGTGACCACAACCAAGCGAGAGGAGTTCAATTCACTTGTCCAGGGGACTACTTTTCAAGCTACCCACGCTCCACTCCAGATTGAGTTGTTATTATTATTATTTATATCCATGGCGGCCACGATTCCCGTTTAACAACTCATTTAAGACCCGATCTTATAGCGATTGCGATCTGCCACGGGATCTCTGTCCAACTTCTTGGAGTCCACTCGAAGCATAAATTTTATTTTGCGTGAATTTATGAGCTACGCCGCCGACAGACGGGGGATTCACTTATTTACCAAAGGATTTACTTGAAAAGGGAATCGGTGGAAAAATAATGAACTTTGGCTGTGCTCATGCACTTGTTGCTTGCTTCGTCGTTGCTAATAATTTAAACAAATTTACGAAATGGTAAAAAAGAAACACACACAGGCAGGTAAATAAAGGTGTCGCCTCAACTAGTATTTGGTTATAATTAGGGGGGCCTTTTCTCTGTTTTTCTCTCTGAACAATTCTTGGAGCTCTTCTCTGTGGCGGTTTCTTCACTTTGAAGCGAAGTAGAAGCCGCAGCAAAAAGAACCCTGAAGATGAGTTGTTTACACACACTCTCTTGGAGCTGCCCGAAGAGAGATAATTTCCACCAGAAATCACTCATCACTTGGGCGTAACTCTATCTGGATAAACAATGGATCTGATCTGCTGCCCTATAGATAGATAAAGATACAGATACCTCGCACACTTTCTGGGAATTTTTGTTTGGAATCAGATACAATCCTTCACTTGCTTATTTGAATAATGCTCCAACTTCCCCTCCATAAATCTTTACTTTTTATTGCCCAACTTCCTCTGGAAGTTTTTCTTGTCTATTTTTTTTTCGTTGGGTTTCAATTAGTCACCGCACTTTGAAGATTAGAAAATGCATTTTAAGGCTTTATATTTTTTAATGTTTTTTAGTCAGGGGAACTTGATTCTCAATCAAAGGGAAATTCCGTTGATCTCCGCTAAGCTGATTTTCACTCGCCTACAGAAGCTCAAACTCAAAAACTCAACTCAGCCCCAAAAATCTCTGAGTAATCCGCTGCGTTAAAACTTTTCAATTTCTCTGAGACATAATCCACACTTGATTCTCAGCTTTTCCTTACCCGCTTTTCTTTTTTTTTATATGTAGTCCAATGGAGAGTAAAATGAGATTATTTTGTGACTGTTTTGCTGTCTGTTTTTCTAAATAATCGAGCCAATATTTTTCAACAGATTATTGCTTATTAATTTGCTTGCTGATAACTTTTTATTATTATTATTATTTTGTTGACACTGAACACAGAAATTTGTATGGTTTTATTTTTCAAAACATTTGTGGTGACTTTGCACGGCGCGCGAACTGATTATTTAAATTTTTGTTGTAAATATTTTCGTATATAATTTTGGATTTTCACATGCTCAGTCTTGGAAAAAGTCTCGTACTCCGTTCAGAATTTTTTGTTCGATTCCACAGACAAACACGCGAGACGCTCACGTCTGATATCGGCGACTGCGAGTCAAAAACTGAATTTCAAATTTCAAATTCGTTTCGAGCTACAAGCTATGGGATGTCGGCGGCGGAAACGGGCAGTATCTGCAGCTACAACTTCGGCTGCCGGTTTACCGAAGATACACGAGAGAGCGTTCGGCACTGCTTCCGGAGAAAAATAACTCCCACCCGGGGTTTTGCCGAGAGAGCAATATGCGAGAGAGAGGGAGAGAAATGGAAATGAACTTGTTCAGGCATGTTGTCTAATCGGGATTCTCGTTGTTGCAGTCAACATTCATTCTCTGTCACTGCAGTTTGTTGATGTTGCTGCTAAATTTACCCAAATAAGCAAAATTTACAAGATATTTAAAAATGTTTTGAAATTATAGCTAACTGAAATACTTTGAATCACAAATTATTATAGCTCTGCAATAACTTTTATGCCCAAAGAATGTTAAATTATTGCCAAGATTGCATTTAATGACTGCCGTTGAACTGATGTTTATGCAAAATTATTCATGTCTACACATTCTTAATATACAGAGCTCTGTGCTCTCATTTTTCTCCAGTTTATGACAATTTATTTTTAGATTTTTATTCCCTTTTGTTTGATATTAAATCCTTGTTTATTTATCTAAAAAATGCTTATTTATTATTTTCTAGAGCAATCGAATTTAAAGGGAGTTTTTTAGAGATCAAAGGCATTCCGTTAAGTATAATGATACCAATAGCAAAAGGATATATTGACAGTAATTAAAGCTGCTATTTGATCAGCATTATATCAATATATATGTATAGTAAATTAAACTTTATATAAGGCATTAATTTACAGTTTTTAGTTTATTATACGTAGAGTCATTCACCCGCACATGGAAATTAAAACTGCATATGCAGTATAATTAGCTAAAAAACGATGAGTAATTAATTGCCTTACAAAACAGATATGGCAAGTGTCTTTCCCGGAAAAGAACAGACTAATTTGAGTGTTCTTTTGAGATATTAATTACCATCACCTGCATGTTAGGTGCATTAAACAATAAATGTATCTGGAAGATATCGGGTATCGTTGTCAGTACTAACCGTCATATGCAAAATAGAAAAACAATTTTTGTTGTTTTTCAATCAACCAAAAACCAAGAACAAAAACAGCAACAACTAGCGAAAGCCACAATATGATCAAGGTCAATGTCTGGTGGGCGGGGGTGGAGAAAAAAAAGAGCAGGGGGAGTGGAGAGCGGTAGATGCTTTTCAGCATTTTCCTTCTTTTGCTGCTGTTTTTCCTGCTGCATGTAAAATGACAGCAGCAACAACAACAGCAGCCGGCATGAAAATTCAATGTTATTTTCATATCACACACACACATGCAATCAAAACACTGCTCTCACTTCGAAATTCGAATTTCGAAAATGAACACACTGGCTCTCTCTCTCTTTGTGTGCATTTGCTCTCTCTCTCTCTGTGTGGCTCTCTCTTGTTGTTTGTTGATGTTGCTAAGGATTTTAGCAACATGTTGCTAGCTCTTCATTTATTTGTTGCTAGCTGTGTGTTTTTTTCTCGTTTCTCTGTTGGGATGCAATTTCTGTTTACGCATTTTTTTCGCACCTCTGCTTACTGTTTACGCTGCACTTTCACCTTCTGCGCTACTTTGGGCCCCAGCCCCGCCCACCGCCCCACTGCATTCCGTTGTATATTTTGTTTATAAACATTCTTTGCTGTTTGTTTTCAATGCAATTCCATTGTGCACAGTTGTTGAAAGCGGAGATGCTGAAAGAAAGATGGGAAAGAAAGAACAAAAAGGATGGGAAAAGGGGGGGAGGAAGCAGCTGGTGGTGGTGCCAAAGGGGGGCATTTCTTTCTGCTAGCCTACACTGAAAACAATAGAAGAATCGCTTAAAAGAAAGACAGTTTTTGTTTAACAATTTAATAGTCAAAAAGACTTATTTCTATTTCTTTTTTAATTTTAATTAAAACTCCATAAAAACCTAAATGCAGTATAAATTATGCTTTAAATTAATTATTTTACCCGCACAATTTATGGTTATAATAGTTATTATCTCTGTTTTAATTGATTTTCACTTTTTTTTTATCAGATAATTCAAAGCAAATTGCAGTTTTCTATCATTGGCGCTTTGCTTTCATAAATTATTATTTTAATCATACTTATTCTTAATTTAATTTATTTTTTAATTGTTAACAGTGCACCCGCAAGTTGTACACAAAAAACATAGGGGGAAAATTCTTTATAAATTGTTAGTTGTCGACGGCATGACGAGTGTTTGCAGCCGCAACTTAGTCAAAGTCGCTAACGGTAATATCTGCCACCAGTAGCCCCCTCTCCCTCGCACCCTCTTGTGGTGGAAAACCCCTCTCCTTCCACTTTTCCACAACAACTCATTAGGCGCGTCAAGTGATGTTTGCCTTTTTGTGCCGGGGACCAAAACCGAAACACATTAGCGGCTCATTGGGGTCTAGAAGCGGCCCAAAAGGCAACGCAAATTAAAGGAGCATTAAGTGATTGGACGATGGGTGGGGAAAATTATGGGGGGGGGGGGGGTAGAGAGGGGTGTCCCGGAAAAATGAAGACCACACATTTGCACATTCTGCAAAACTCGAAGAAGTTTCCTTTTGTCAGAAGCCACAAAAAGTATCTTATGGCTGCTCAACATTCTTGAGAAATTGCCAAGACCGAAGATACAAAAGTGGAGCAGCTTAAAAAGTATCTTTCTATCTCACAGATACAAAATTCATAAAGCAAAACAAACATTTTTGCCAAAAAAGATAGCCGAAATCCCATAAGCTTAGATTTATCATACGTGAGGAAAATGCAAGTGCTGAAAAGTATCAAAAATATCTTTTAAGCTTGAAACTTGATGGGAAAATCGTATTATGCAAAGTATTTTCAGCCAGATATCTTTAGAAATATTCTAAAAAAAATATATATTTCTTGGAACAATTCAATAATTAAATACAAAAAGTAAGATATAAATATTTTTCTGAGCAATAACAAATCTCTGGTGGCTTACCAATTAGTCAACATGCCTCCCTTTTACCAAAATTCGTAATACAAAAATGCTCTTTTATGGCCACTCCCCTAAAAAACCAAGCAGAGGCAAGGGACAGCTGACGGAGCAGCTCGTGTGTTTGCAGATACAATAATTAATAATTCGGGATAATCTGCATGTTTGTCAAAGTGATATGGCCTAAAAATGGAAAAAGGAAAAAATGTGTTCCAACACCTACATACATACACACGTGTGTGTAGATGAAAATCTGTGCGGAAAACCATCTGCATAAATATTCGCAGACTGGCCTCGAGTCCATTTTTCAGGCACAGAACCAAAGGTCCTGCTGATGGTTCTATTGAATTGAGGAGAAAACGAGGATCCAGCATTCCCCTTCATAATTAAAATTTTGTTTCTTATTTTACAGCTGTTGAGTGAGGGCATTGCATTAATTTGTTTGACATTTATGGCAATCTCTTCATTAAGCCTAAAGATAATATTTTTCTTGTACTTCAAGTCTGGTTATTATTATTTAGGAATAACTAAGAATTTCAAGAAAAATTAATATTTCGATTATTTGAATAGGTTTTTATTTTATAAGAAAGCGGTAACATAAATATAGAATACAGAATATAGTTATATACATAAAATAACAAGACTTTTTCTGTCTTTAAAAGACGTGAATTTATTTTAAAGTCATTTCATTACACTCAGACCCATATATAATATCTTTGTCATCAAAAAATTATACATTAAGATTTATTCTTTAGCATATCAACAAACTAAAGCAAACAAAAGATACTCAATCTTATCGTTATCTTTTTGACCTTGACAATATGTCTTTCCAATCCATTTAGTTCAAGGTTCTACATGTTCTACATGTTAAATATATGAAAATGAAACTCTGAAATAATATCTTCAATGATTTCGCACAATTCCATCGTGAGAGATAACAGAGCCCCTGTGCCAATTTCAAGTGCAATTATAATTTTTGTTTGTCATGCAAAAACATCAACAGGCAAAAACAATCGACAATGGGAAACGGCAGGCTCCACCAGCGGCATAAAGACAAAAAAAAGTGCGGAAAATGGGGAAAATACGCAAACAAAACGAGGCACGAATTGTGGGTGGTGGTCCCTGTTTGGGGTTGGAGGCCACACGCCCACAATCAAACTGGGTCACATGGCCAGGCTATTGCAATTTGCATATGCATGAGTGGCAGGAAGATACAAAGAGCGGGAGGATATACGCGGGAAGGGCAGAACAGGATCCTGGGGGGGGAACAGGTTGCCTGCTGGAGGTGTGCAAGTGTGTCCTGCACGTCCTTCGGCACATGACTTTACAGTTTTTCGACCTCTTCTAATAAATTTCCGCCCAAGTGGAATATGCAAAGTCACCAAAAAGCGAAAAACACACGCAGCATAAGCACACTGACAGAAAGAAAGATGTTTTTGGGGTGCGAAATGTGTATATTTAGTACAGAAAAAGTCCTTAAATGAGTTTATATCTAAAAGGATTCAAATTAATAAGTTAAAACTTGTAGTTTGTAAACCAAATATCAAAAGATCTTGACAAAGATATGAAGCATACTTGATTTTATTATTATTTCAGCCTCCTTTTATATAATTCTTGCGTCTAAAAGTTAAACCTTCGAAGGCTATAACCTTATTTTGAACGTAAACTATAATGTATTTATAAAAGAATACAATTTTCCATATAATTTAAGTTCATTTTAAATTAAACAAATCCTAGAACCTAGATTTTTCTCTGCATT